ATAACGTAGTTCATCACCAAGAGGAGTGACAGCAGCCATTCTATCAGCCTGCTCATTACCCCGCAAACTCGCCTGTAAGTCCGTTACAATGACCACATATTGAGCTGTGCTTCTCTCCAGCCATCGGAAAGCTGCCATTACTGCTGTAACCTCCACTCTAATATTGGATGTTGTGATGTTACACACTAGACTCTCTGTTTTCAAACAGTGTACATTCACCTTTGCAATAAAACCCCACCCACTCTTTTTATCTCTCACAACAAATCCATCTGTGCATATAATATTGTCTCCTAGGTGTGAATTTTCATTCATCGGCCCTTGCACCGGTGATTCTGTTTCCCGGCACCCTAACTCCATAGTAACTATCATTTTGTGCAAGTTTGTTTTGCTGGGCGGCACTGTAACCCATTCCTCCCTAGGCCTTATCTGGTAATTAGCAGAGACAGTTATAATCATGACCTCTACCTGTGTCAACTATGAGTTACTTCTGTTCAGCTGATGTCCCTTGCTATTCCCCAAGGCCTCATGTAGAAGAAGGTTTTTTTTTTCTTTGTCTGTTGTGACTTTAAGGTACATTTTCGCATGTAGCACTCAAATAATGAAGTATGAAAAGTATAGAGGAGTTTCGTTATTAAGCCACAGGAAGGAAATATTTGGTACAATACTTGGGGGGAAAAAAAATCATCGAACCACAACTTAGTGAAAGACAAATTTGGTTTCGAAAGAACAGAAGGTGTACCTATGCAATATTCTCACTTAAAAAACTAGTGGAAAGGAAGGCTGAATTCGATAAAGAATTACATTACATGTCGTATTCGTAGACCAAGGGAAAGCTTCTGATCGAGTTCATAGAGATACATTATGGAAGGTGCTGCATGTTACGGAGTAAATTAACATCCCATTCAATTGTGCAAGAGTTTGTACGGGATCAGTCAATGTGCAGAGAAAAAATACAGGAATATCAGAAAAGGTCTATATGAAGTCTGGAGTGTGACATGGATGCGTTCTATCACCACTACTGTTCATCCCAAATTTGCAAATCAGTTAACACTAGGGAATGGCAAAACAGAGGAGAATTACTCAAATAATCTGAATTCCGAGTCTGGGTTCCTGGATCCCATTGTGCTGGAAAACAAGAAATGACCCCATGCCTTCAAAACAAGCATGTCGTAAGAGTCAACTAACTGGGTCACTTTTTTTCGAAGTCGGAGTGCATCTGCCTGAGAGCCAAGGAACCAACACTCTACATACAAGTATGTCAGATCTGTAAAAAAATGATGTGCAACACTCAAGTTCTAGAAACAAGACTAACGTCCTGTGATGGTCGAACAACCAGAACCTTCCATCGGAGTTTACAGCCGGTGAACGAAGAAGAAGAAGAAGAATTACCCGAATTGGGAATTTCTAATGGCCAACACGTCTTTGTTGTAGACATAATTTCTTTATATGAAAACCCGATCTTCTTCTTCCTCACATTCAATGGCTGTAAACTCTGGCAGAAAGTTCGGGTTATTGGTTATTCATTCCTATCTGAACTTTGCTCTTATGCTATAAATTTGGTTTTTAGGTGTACATCTAGTTTACATATCTGGCTTATTTGTTTACCAACTATTAGTTCCTCATCTGTCAGGCAGAGGCACTCTGACTTCAAAAGAAAAACCCCTTATTAACCCATTTTTACTACGGACTTACTGTAGAGAGTGGGTCTATTTATTCTCTCAACCTAGAATGTTGAATGGGCCCTTTGGGAGTGAGTGAACAGTGCGGAAGAACAAATAGATCAATATGGTCTGAGGAGAATGGTGCTGCGGGGAGTTACCGGGGATCTTCCCGATACTCAACATTAAGGGCAAGGCGAGACAGATGTACAGTCAGACAGTAACTAGTACCATGAGAATTATAACTCTTTGCATGCTGCAGGAGACGGGGTTAGAGCGTTTATGGGAGTGTCCCAAGTATTATGATGTCGATTCTTAATTCAACATTTAATATTTTCTACCTACAATGAGGCCCCAGAACCCACACAGATGTTACTGGCGATGACAGGTGTTACTGGCGATGACAGGTGTTACTGGCGATGAGAGGTGTTACTGGCAATGACAGGTGTTACTGGCTATGACAGGTGCTACTGGCAATGACAGGCGTTACTGGCAATGACAGGTGTTACTGGCAATGACAAGTGTTACTGACAATGACAAGTGTTACTGGCAATGACAAGTGTTACTGGCTATGACAAGTGTTACTGGCAATGACAAGTGTTACTGGCAATGACAGGTGGCAATGACAGGTGTTACTGGCTGTGACAAGTGTTACTGGCAATGACAGGTGTTACTGACAATGACAGGTGTTACTGACAATGACAGGTGTTACTGGCAATGACAGGTGTTACTGGCTGTGACAAGTGTTACTGGCAATGACAGGTGTTACTGACAATGACAGGTGTTACTGACAATGACAGGTGTTACTGACAATGACAGGTGTTACTGACAATGACAGGTGTTACTGACAATGACAGGTGTTACTGACAATGACAGGTGTTACTGGCAATGACAGGTGTTACTGGCAATGACAGGTGTTACTGGCTGTGACAAGTGTTACTGACAATGACAGGTGTTACTGACAATGACAGGTGTTACTGGCAATGACAGGTGTTACTGGCAATGACAAGTGTTACTGACAATGACAGGTGTTACTGACAATGACAAGTGTTACTGACAATGACAAGTGTTACTGACAATGACAGGTGTTACTGACGATGACAGGTGTTACTGGCAATGACAAGTGTTACTGACAATGACAGGTGTTACTGACAATGACAAGTGTTACTGACAATGACAAGTGTTACTGGCAATGACAGGTGCTACTGACAATGACAGGTGTTACTGACAATGACAGGTGTTACTGACAATGACAAGTGTTACTGGCTATGACAGGTGCTACTGTCAATGACAAGTGTTACTGGCGATGACAAGTGTTGCAATCAATACCTGCTTGAGTTAGTCTCCCCCCTCCCCCCCCCCCTGTGTGGTTTCCGGGACCCTGTTATAGGAAGAACAAGAATAGACCCACTGCCTTTCCAAAAGCATGTCAGAAGAGTCAACTAATTGATAGCTTCCTTCAATGTGGGAGTGCATCTGCCTAAGAGGCAAGAAACCAGCAGTCTGCATACAAATGAGTCAGATCTGTAAAACAAATGCACACGCAACATTCAGGTTCTGCAACAGGACGGCAGTCCAGAAGTGGATGAACAACCAGAACTTTCCACCAGAGTTTACAACTGGTGAACACAAAGAAGAAGAAACAGTCTTCCACAATAAGAACATGTGATTTCAGAACCTTTATTGCAATCTCGTATATTTGATGTGTTTTTCCAACCAACAACATACACAGTATAACTAGGGGATACATACAAAAACATAAGAAAGGCTCACTTTTATTCATTTAAAAAAAAAATTATTACATATAAAACCTAAACAAAGATAATACATTTCAGAATGTACAGAAGCAGTTTTAAGCACCAATAAATGTCATTATGCAATTAGGAACATTAACAAAAATTTACAAGGAAGTTTGCCTGCCAGCCCAGAGATATTGAGTTCAAATCTGCACTAAGTCAATTTTCAAATGACCTTGGCAACCAGGTTTCCTAAACTGGGTTCTATGTACAGTCCTGGGAAGTAGAGACAGACAGCCAGCCAGCATAAAGCTGGCCACACCATCAAGTACCACTTGATCCCCAAAACAAATACACATGATATGTCACTGCAGGGAAAGGGGTTCTCTACATTTTTCAGGGATCAGCATACTCAGGGATCAACACACTCAGGGATCAACATACTCAGGGATCAACATTCTCAGGGATCAACATTCTCAGGGATCAAAATTCTCAGGGATCAACATATTCAGGGATCAACATTCTCAGGGATCAACATTCTCAGGGATCAACATACTCAGGGATCAACATTCTCAGGGATCAACATTCTCAGGGATCAACATACTCAGGGATCAACATTCTCAGGGATCAACATTCTCAGGGATCAACATATTCAGGGATCAACATACTCAGGGATCAACATTCTCAGGGATCAACATTCTCAGGGATCAACATTCTCAGGGATCAACATTCTCAGGGATCAATGTACTCAGGGATCAACATACTCAGGGATCAACATTTTGGAAATGAGGTTTGTCACAGACCAGAGGCCTAAGGCCCAGCATAGAAAGATCATTAGTACAATTCCTCTAGCAATGATCTGCGGGCCACCTGCTAGCCCTCCGCACACAGATGGGATCTGGTCGGTGGGCCACAAGCCAAATAGCCCTGCCATATGGGATCCAGGGCCCCATTCTGGGCTTGAGGGAGGTTCACAAAACTAACCCCAAACAAGCATATCCTAAAGGGCAACTAATAACTAATCCTGGGTTTGCTGAAACTGGATGTGTTGGGCTCAGAAGTGCAGATACTGTGGCCTAGCTGTAAACTTCAACACAATGTCCCAATTACTTTGTTAATGGCGAACTGAAGTTAGGCTGTCCTTTTAACTGTATAACTAGGGGTGACAAAGTTCTTTCAAATAGGAATGAGGAAGACAAAGAAGTTTACACATTTTCTTCTTCACGTTCACTGGTTGTAAACTCTCTCTGTCATACAGTTCTGATTGTTCGTCCACTTCTGGACTTTGGTGTTGTTCCAGACTGTGTTTTGTGTGCACATCCGTTTTACAGATCTGTATAATTTTTTTGCAGACTGTTGGTTCCTGGCCTCTTAGGCAGTTGCACTCTCACTTTGAAGGAAACACCCATAATTAGTGGCTTTTATTTGAGGTGCCAGGACCCACACAGGGAGTTTACACAATTCAACAGACAATTGTAACCCAGGCAACAAATGTCTGCATATGCTGGATGTGTTAGCCAAAATGAGTAAATATCACAGCTATGTTGTAAACAGCCCACAAGGCATTTACATCCTCAGATAAGCAAAGAAAAAAATGACAATGGTTTCAGTTGACCCTCCTCTGCCTGAGCTCTAGAAAAATCTCTTCATTTTCTTGTGGTATGGGAAAGTCTACTGGTTCTTGCACGAGAGGTAAGTCATACGTCTCCGGGTCATCATCTTCAGATGGCTTTGTTTGTGTACCTGCAGATAGCAAAGTTTATGTCTCCATTATTTACAAATATATTATTTTGACTACGTTAGATGTCTCTGGAAAGATTCTATAGCTGGGCAACAAATAATAAAATAATTTTTTACATTAAAAAAAAACATTTTCAAAAAATCTACACATCACAAACCACTCTGGGCACAATTAAAAAGCATTCCAAATTAAATCTCCAGCTCACAGTATTGCACCGAGCACTCAACTCAATAACTGACCAGTGAAGCTATATCCTTTCAGTCTATATACGGAAGAAATGAAAGACCAACTACTGTCAGAGGCAAAAACTTCACACGACTATAAACAGTAAATCAGTCTATCCTCCATATTGACAGAATATTGTGTTCAATCAAATGCCGGCGTCTTTACCTCACCTCTACTGTTAACACTGGGATAAAAACATTTTTGTTTCAACTAAATCATGAGACAACAGATCAAATGGACTGGGCGTGTCAAGACTACCGTGTTGAATGTTGAGTGTAGAATTAAGAATCAACATTACAGCCTTCAGCACACCCCCATAAACGCTCTGTCCCCATCTTCAGCAGCAAACAAAGAGTTGCAATTTCGATGGCACCAGTGACTGTCTAATTGTATATGCGTCTCACCCTTCCCCTGAGTGTTGGGCATCGGTCAGATCCCCTGTTAACTCTTCGCGGCGCCATTCTCCTCAGACTGTAATGTAATCGGTACCTCTACACTGTTGACTTGCTCCCAAAGGGCCCTCACAATATCTAGCTTTTCATACATCAATTCACCAACAAGTGGTGCAGAGCCAGGCAGTCTATCTGCCTGCTTATTTCCCAACACACCAGCATGATCTGGAGTGAATATCCAAAGGAGGCTAACTACTCGGAACCTCTGAAGTGATGTTTGCAACTTTGCACTGAGCATGCCTGTCTCCACCTTTCTCAACATGCTCTGTGAATCATCAGATAGTGCATCACTTAGACACAGTGGAAGCAGGCCTAGAGGTCAACCATGCCAGCGATGGATAGAAGGAAAATCTGAGACTATAAATACCAGCATCTTCGCAGCTTGCACATAGACTCACATGTTATGCCTCTTCAAAACCTGATGATGAAACGCAGAACAGGACTGGTGAAGAAGAAGTAGGTCAAGTTAGTTTGCCATCTGGTCCAGGACTAACTGGTGTGAATCCACATTGAGGTGGATTTAAAAAAAAAAAAAAGATCCAGGTCAAGCTAGCCTGAAATAGGAACCAGGAAATATCCTGGGAAGTAAAGATGACTGGCTATAAAAATAGGAGGCTGGTATGATATGCTCACTATGCCTGAAAGCAAAGATTTAGGACCTTAAAAGTAATCAATTAATGACATTCAACAGATGTTTGATAAACAGAAAAACATATAATTGTTGTTTAGGATTCATGAATTACTTATGGCATACTATATACTCATACATACATATGCAATTCTTAAAATCCCTACATCTTACAAACACAATACACACCTAATTATATAATGTGCATATTACAGATACACGCAAGTGACAGTATGGAGAATAGGACTGATGTCATGGAGTCTGAATAATTATTCCCTACATTATGAATGCCATTTGGATCAGATAGTTAGTTCTAAGATAAGACAAGTCGTGTGATCACCCTGAGTATTAGATGGCAGGGAAAGATATCCACCTAAGCAAGCAGGCATTGTTGAAGTAAGTAGATAGAAGTCTCCAGTGGGTTATGAACAACAGTGAACAAAGAAAATGAAGTTATTAGAGAAAGGTCAAAGGAAGGAGAAAATGCTGGATGGTGTTGACGGTATTTTACAGAAAAGAGATTCATGGACCGAAACTTATCAAGGTGCAATCTTCTTTATTCTTTTTCTTCATTAATGTTACTGGTTGTAAGCTCTGCAGAAAGTTCTGTTATTCCTAAACCTTAGAACTTTAGTATTGTTTCAGAACCCTGAATGATATGCCCCCACGCAGGGCCTAATTTTAGGGGGGATAAAAAAAACAGTCTGCATACAGGTAGGTCAGATCTGTAGAATGGATGTGCATGCCACCAAAGTAGTGGAACAAAATCAAAGTCCATAAGTGGATGAACAACCAGAACTTTCCGCCAGTTTACAGCTGGTGGAGATTAAGAAGATTACACATCTGTCTTGCCTTTGCTGTAATCTCCTCAGCTCTCAAGAAAGGAGACACATCACCTACACTGAATAGAATGGCACATGATGATCATGGTGGAAAAGCATACTTACCATCATCACGAGTATTACTGACAGCTATCTGAAGTCTGCTGGCTTCATCCAAGTCTTCAGCCTCTTCCTCCATATCTGGGAGCACCTGAAGATCAAGCGCTTTACGCTGAGACTCCCTGTGAAACACGACAACAGCAACGCCGGCAGCCAGAATAAATAAGTTGAACCAGAAAGCACAGACAGCACTCACTAGTGGCCAGTTGTGAAGCAGATACCTGAAATTAAAAAAAAAAGTCACTGGAATCGTCACCATCATGTAGCAGGTCCTTTACAGAACATCTCTCTCACCACAGCTCACCTGAAAGAAACTCTGTTTTATCAGCTCTCCCATCTCATGCACTTTCTTGCTCAAGGTGTCTCCCACATCCTGTGCCCATCTTTGTGCTGGTCAGCCTCTGCCCCTGTTTCCTAGTACTATGCCATCTGCTACTGTTCTTTCCAAACCATCGTGATGCTTGATATCACTAAAGTATTTCAGTTTCTGAGACAAGATGATATTGATGAGCCAATCTTCCTTGATGTGAAGATCGTTTAGGATATAAATATTTCTTTTCTTCTTGGTCTAAGGTATTCTGTAAATCCTTCTCTAGCTACAATCTATAAAAAGATGAACAAAACCAGCACCCAAGCCACTTGAAAAGTGCGAGACAAATATAGATAACCATGAAACTGGGCTACAATCTAGAAACAGTGTGATGAATAAAGAAAAAGAAAGGTTATCCTGCTCTATAAGGGGGGCATGTGAATCACATTGTAATAAATTAAGGTCTTTCTCTCCACAGCAAAAAGCCTGGGCAGTACTGTAGAGACATGGAGTACTGTTGAGACATGGAGTACTGTAGAGATGTGGAGTACTATAGAGACATGCAGTACTGTAGAGACATGCAGTACTATAGAGACATGCAGTACTGTAGAGACATGCAGTACTGTAGAGACATGCAGTACTATAGAGACATGCAGTACTGTAGAGACATGGAGTACTGTAGAGACATGGAGTACTGTAGAGATGTGGAGTACTATAGAGATATGCAGTACTGTAGAGACATGCAGTACTGTAGAGACATGCAGTACTATAGAGACACTCAGTACTGTAGAGACATGCAGTAATATAGAGACATGCAGTACTGTAGAGACAGAAACATGCAGTACTGTAGAGACATGCAGTACCGTAGAGACAGAGACATGCAGTACTGTATAGACAGAGACATGCAGTTCTGTAGAGACATGCAGTACCGTAGAGACAGAGACATGCAGTACTGTAGAGACATGCAGTACCGTAGAGACAGAGACATGCAGTACTGTAGAGACATGCAGTACCATTTCTGTTAGAGTAGAGACACAGAGTCCATGCAATACTGTAGAGACTTGCAGTACCTGTGAGAGAGACATTAGAATACTGTAGAGACATGCAGTACCGTAGAGACAGAGACATGCAATACTGTAGAGACATGCAGTACCGTAGAGACAGAGACATGCAATATTGTAGAGACATGCAGTACCGTAGAGACATGCAGTACTGTAGAGACATGCAGTACTGTAGAGACATGCAGTACTGTAGAGACATGCAGTACTGTAGAGACATGCAATACTGTAGAGACATGCAGTACCGTAGAGACAGAGCAGGCTATACTGTAGAGACATGCAGTACCGTAGAGTTTGAGACATGCAGTACTGTAGAGACAGCAGTACTTAGTGACAGACTGCAATACTGTAGAGACATGCAGTACCGTAGAGACATGCAGTACTGTAGAGACATGCAGTACTGTAGAGACATGCAGTACTGTAGAGACATGCAGTACTGTAGAGACATGCAATACTGTAGAGACATGCAGTACCGTAGAGACAGAGACATGCAATACTGTAGAGACATGCAGTACCGTAGAGACAGAGACATGCAATACTGTAGAGACATGCAGTACCGTAGAGACAGAGAATACTGTAGAGACATGCAGTACCGTAGAGACAGAGACATGCAATACTGTAGAGACATGCAGTACTGTAGAGACATGCAGTACTGTAGAGACATGCAGTACTGTAGAGACATGCAGTACCGTAGAGACAGAGACATACAATACTGTAGAGACATGCAGTACCGTAGAGACAGAGACATGCAATACTGTAGAGACATGCAGTACCGTAGAGACAGAGACATGCAATACTGTAGAGACATGCAGTACCTGTAGAGAGACATGCAATACTGTAGAGACATGCAGTACTGTAGAGACTAGAAAATGCAATACTGTAGAGACATGCAGTACCGTGTGAGACATGAGACATGCAATACTGTAGAGACCAACTGGCAGTTAATAGCTGACAGAGAATGCAATTTACTTCCCAGACATGCAGTACCTTTTTTAGAGACAAGAGCGCAGGGAATTTTTGTAATCTGTCTTTTCTCGACATAAGACACCCTGCCTTGCAATAAATGTTCTTTCAACGGGCCAAACAAATGAAAGTCCGATGATGCCAAGTCCGAGATGTACGCTGGATGTTTCAATACTTCACACCGCACAGTCAGTAGTGTATCCACTGTATGTGCCTATTGAAAGAACATCTGCGGGGTTGGAGATTTGCAGATAACAATGAGGTGATGCCAGTGGTGCAAACTTGGTTACTGGCCGCAATCAAAACCTTCTACCTGGCAAGCATCAACAATCTTGTTTACGCTGCGCTGTTAGTACCTGTGTTGCAAAGTAGCTAGCATCTACAATCTTGTTGGTCTGTGATACTACCTGTGTTGCAAGGTGCCCTGGACATCTCTCAGCATCTACAATCTTGTTGGTCTGTGAACTACCTGTGTTGCAAGGAAGGGAGCTAGCATCTACAATCTTGTTGGTCTGTGAACTACCTGTGTTGCAAGGAAGGGAGCTAGCATCTACAATCTTGTTGGTCTGTGAACTACCTGTGTTGCAAGGAAGGAGTGGCATCTACATCTGTTGGTCAACTACTTGTTTTGCAAGGAAGGGAGCTAGAACATTTGGTCTGTGAACTACCTGTGTTGCAAGGAAGGGAGTGAGCATCTACAATCTTGTTGGTCTGTGAACTACCTGTGTTGCAAGGAAGGGAGTGAGCATCTACAATCTTGTTGGTCTGTGAACTACCTGTGTTGCAAGGAAGGGAGTGAGCATCTTTGCACAATCTTAAGGTGCCCTCTTTGGTCAGGGTCTGTGAACTACCTGTGTTGCAAGGAAGGGAGCTAGCATCTACAATCTTGTTGGTCTGTGAACTACCTGTGTTGCAAGGAAGGGAGTGAGCATCTACAATCTTGTTGGTCTGTGAACTACCTGTGTTGCAAGGAAGGGAGCTAATGTTGACAAATAGGACAACGAACAATTTTGTTCCGGCCATCTGTAAAAAACGGATCAATGTAATTGTCTTTACTTAACTTCTTTCCTCGTATATATGCAGACATAAAGTCTAAAAACCTGAGGCTAATATCTAAGAAGCAATTCTTTCATGAAAACAATATTTTAGGGATTAGAAAGTGATGCATTATGCTAGGAACCTAAAAGATAAAGTGTTATCAGCATCACAGTACACATACTTGCCCATAGAGATTTATGCAGTTAATGTTATTTATTTAAATTATCAAATAATCAATTTAAAAAATAAGATAAACGACAAAGTCATGAACAAAAGTTTGACAATACACAAAGCAAATAATCATTAACAAAAACTAATGAAATATTTCACACAACCATCAACATGAACCTAACCCTTTCACTCTACAAATCTACAAGAAATTATCCTTTTTCCAAATTTCATTTAAAAAAAAATACTGAATCCCTATTATTCTCGGAACTTGTACCCTCCTTTTTATTCTCGGAACTTGTACCCTCCTTATTATTCTCGGAACTTGTACCCTCCTTATTATTCTCGGAACTTGTACCCTCCCTATTATTCTCGGAACTTGTACCCTCCCTATTATTCTCGGAACTTGTACCCTCCCTATTATTCTCGGAACTTGTACCCTCCCTATTATTCTCGGAACTTGTACCCTCCCTATTATTCCGGAACTTGTACCCTCCCTATTATTCTCGGAACTTGTACCCTCCTTATTATTCTCGGAACTTGTACCCTCCTTATTATTCTCGGAACTTGTACCCTCCCTATTATTCTCGGAACTTGTACCCTCCTTATTATTCTCGGAACTTGTACCCTCCCTATTATTCTCGGAACTTGTACCCTCCCTATTATTCTCGGAACTTGTACCCTCCCTATTATTCTCGGAACTTGTACCCTCCTTATTATTCTCGGAACTTGTAATACCCTCCCTATTATTCTCGGAACTTGTACCCTCCCTATTATTCTCGGAACTTGTACCCTCCCTATTATTCTCGGAACTTGTACCCTCCTTATTATTCTCGGAACTTGTACCCTCCCTATTATTCTCGGAACTTGTACCCTCCCTATTATTCTCGGAACTTGTACCCTAAGAAACTAGGTGAAGAAATGAAGAAGCTAAAGAAGACATTTGGAGTTTTGGTCCGTTTTTATAAAAGTCAAGGGGGTCAAACTTCGGGAAGACTAACCTGGACAACAAATGAATGCAGAAGTCAGATCTTTAGATGAACGCAGAAAAAGGAGAAGAAATCCCTAGACCACTGAGCAAACAGAACAATATGGCGGCCACCGCTTCATCACTGACAAAATTATTTTTTAAATCCCCCCATTTCTTTTCATCAAGGGCAATAATGGCTAAATGCAATGCAAGCAAAGTATTTACTGCTTTCCTTCCCTTTGAACAAAACAGACATATTGATGATGACCTATCTTTGTGACATTATTAAGACATAACTGAGTTTTCAAAAATATGATTGTTATCACGCCAAATAATATTTACACATTTTTGTAGGGCATATATACTCATACCCACTATGTCTATATAGTGTACAGTTGTAGCCAGTGTGAAAGCTGTTATACAGGCTTAGAGGCCACAGCCCAAAGACTTCATGTCAGCAAAATTCGTTATCCTACACCTAAATAAACAAGGGCATGCACGCCTATCATGCATCAGATTTTTGTCTCATTCAAGCAGCCATTTCTTCGCACAATGAATAACTTTCTCAGGTCTGTCTCTCCACTTTCTGAAGCTTTATCTCTCTGAAACCAGTGACCAACAGTGCTCCTATTGACTGCATAACTTCCATTAATTTAACAGAAATGTTTATTCAAATAGATTAGTACAGCTGTTATTTTTGCTGGAACAAGTTGCCATTTAGCACACACAATGCTACCATTTCAAATTTAAACTGCCAAATTTCATTTTTCTATCTTCAACGAGAAACAAAATGTGGGCATTACTTTCGGAATGCCCCTCTGACATAATCATCAAAATATCTGAAACGAATGTGATAAAACAATCAATAAAATATGAGTTCAGTCTTACATAGTCATCAACAAAATGTGAGAACAGTTCAGCAGTTAAGGTTTTCTTTTGCTCCAAGAAGCCCAGGAAATACAAAGGACTTAACAAAGTCATGTGAACGGCCCGTATAAAGATGGATCTGTATCTAAATATTGCCTGAAACATAACAGTATTAGAGATGAGACATTTCATGTCCAACAAAACATTATTAGAGATGAGACATTTCACGTCCAGCAAAACAGTATTAGAGATGAGACATTTCACGTCCAACATAACAGTATTAGAGATGAGACATTTCACGTCCAACATAACAGTATTAGAGATGAGACATTTCACGCCCAACATAACAGTATTAGAGATGAGACATTTCATATCCAACAGTAATAATGTAACATTTCATGTACACATTTTACTTCAGAATTCAAACATAATCTGTTCAGCTGGTGTTCAAATTCCAAACTGTTTGGGTTCCAAGGCAATTTTGTTTCTATTGATAATAATGATAATTAAGTTAATCTGCTCCAGGGTCAAACAAACACACATTTTAAAATGTCTTTTCCTAAATACAGTATACTGTAAATATAGTAACACATGATGATTCTATTTGAATACAAACATAAATCAATCACAGCAAATAGAAACATGAGGAGCAAGGAGGATTTAGGGAGACTTGTTTGGAAGGTGCATCACCTTCCAGGTTAACACTGAGTCCTTTCTGGTGTTTCATATTGTAGTCGTTCACCAATAGCAGAGGGTTTAGGGTCACTAGTTTTTGTTGACAGCCAGAGTTCCAAAGTGATCTTATGCTGGCGATCATTTTTATTTGTTTCCTACAATTTCCAATAATGTTATCACTAATAAGTCAACACACCTGTGAACTAGGGTTCTATAAGGGTGCCAGCTCTCAACAACTTCTTGTGTTTTTGACCTTGTGGTCAAAAGATTCTGAATATCAGCAGTGCTAATCCTTCCAGCTTCCCCCTCTTCCTTCTCGGAAGACATTTCTTCTGCAATTCTTCCCTCTGCTGCTGGTGAAGGTGCTTTAAGCTCTTGCGTTGTCAGCACAGTTGAGAGATTGGCACATGCCAGGGTTAGGTTTTTAAGGCAGCGCTCAAGTTCCGAGGCAAAATTTACTTAAACATTGTGTTCTGATTCTAAGTTGTTTGAGATTTGATGCGTTCGAATTGTGTATACATGTGCAGAGAATGCTATTACCGAATGAAATATAATGCGAGCATCTCTGTGTGCAGAGAAGTGATTGATCAAGTATGCTTGGCTCTGTTGGAGACACAAGTTTAAATATACAGCAATCTGAGCTTAACCCTACCAGACCGCTCTCCCGTTTTTCCGGGAATTTCATAACTGTTCTGTATACTGCTGGCCCTAAATTTCGGCTATTTGCATAGTGCGTGAAAAAGATGCGTCACTGACTAAAAATAACCAACCAATCGTCGTCAGTACGCTTTGTTGGAGATTGCTAATGGCTTCCCCGTGTGTGTGAATCAATTTTGTGTGTTTTAACGTGAAAAAATTCGGAAAATTCAGAATGAAGCGAGCGGCTGATGAACCAAGTTCAAGGCTTTTCACAGTCCAACAGGTGATCGATACTTTGGTTTATTCAGAATCTGTGATATATATATATATATATATCTATATATATATATATATATATATTCATTATCTGTGATAATTTCATAAAGAATACGTTCTTGAAGTGATACTGTCAGTGAGAGCGCAAATGATGAGGTAAATCTTGAAAATTATCAATCTTGAAATAGATCGATAGTAGGAGGAGGGGGTGTGTCCATTAAACGGCAACATCTGGTGTTCACTTTGTGAAACAAAGTTGATCCTGATGAGTGAATTCGCACAAAAAGGTGGAATATTGGCGCTAGATAAAAGGTAAGCCTATTTTCTACAATGTCTCCAAGTTTCATCATATTCTAGCCACTCGTTTGCATGTAACTAATATTTGTGTATATCAAGTTGATTTTTTCTCGGCAATACCCAGGAGCTCAGGTTATAGGAACAGTTAGGTTCCGGGCCTTAGGTCTGGTAAGGTTAAGCAGTCACACTGCAGTACATGTTCAGTATTCTGGGCGCAGTTGCTGCCCTTCCATCTTTCCAGACAGTGTTCCACTGTGACAGACTGAGCTATGTGAAACACACAAACAATAGCAGTGGACAATTAAAGCCATGGATGAAATTCTTCCTCTTTATAACACAAAGCCTGAGCAGTATTGTAGAGATCATATGTTGTCTATGGAGACTGATACCTCTTTCAGACTGCCTTGTTTACTGCAAAGGAAAGGTAACACCAATACGCTTGGAACAAAGCATGCTGCACATGCCACTGAATCAGAAGTGCTGCGCTCTGTCAGTCCATCTGTTCAGACATGGATTTCTGAAAAACCTTAATTAGCCACCGTTCACAACATACTTGTTCCAGGTAAGTGGAGGCCCCCACACCCATAAGGAAAACTTTAGCTGACCAGGTAAGGGGGGGCCCCATACCACAAGGGAAACTTTAGCTGACCAGGTAAGGGGGGCCCCAGTACTCACAAAGGCGACTTTTAGCTGAAATATACAATGTCTAGTTGATTGAAGGGTTTTGCTGAACTGGAGAACAAGAGGCAGTAGAAGTAGAAGAAATGTAGGATACTCACTGATCTTTTTGACGCTGCAGAAATGTGGCCGTCTCTGCCGTACATCTTAACTACCAGCATAAACATTCCTGCAAGATGGAGGCAACAATGGTTACATATGACCTCATAAGCACAAAGATATCGTCTAATAACTATGACACAAAGTGCCAACTGGTCTGTAAAATATAGGTCTAGCCCTATATGCCCAACAGGCCTGCAGGTGTGGAAAAGGATCCCTAACTTTTATTTCTCTGGCAAACCCCTTCACCAGTGATTCCCAAACTGTGCCCCGGGAAGCCGCGACTTCTTCACAGGGGTGCTTCAAAATATGCAAAGGTACAAGAGTTTATTTTTTTTAAATTTTTTTTTATCTCTTACATTCGAATAGTCATACTTCTCTTTAGGTTAGGGCGCTGTGGAAAATTTTTAATTTAAAAAAGGCGCCGCGACTAAGAAAAGTTTGGGAAACACTCCTCTACAGGACCAAGGCAGAAGAGGAGCGACTAAGTAGGTACAGTAAAGTAACTCTGACACTGCAACAAGATATCTGTAAAGATACCATCTTTAATCCTTTATTACAGAGCTTAAGCTCTTAGCGATTTACAGCATACAACCCTCAGTCTACCATTCTTCTTCTTCTTGGGAACTCTGGCTCCCAGTGGACTAAACTGCCAACACAGCTTTATCTAAATCCTAGGGAGCTGAACTGCCTGCACAGTTTCCTCTTATCCTTGAGTGACAGCCCGCTTCATATCCCCGGTTATTAATTCTCCCAGCCATACATTCCTTGCCAGACGATTGTCTTGACATCGACCTGGCTGCCAGGAGATACATAGATACGTGATATTGTGTATTTGTGTAGTACTACTGTCTATTCTATGTATGGGCTGAAGAAGGCTCCATAGCCGTAATGTTCACGTTTTGTTTGTGTTTGTTATATTGTGAAGCTCACTGATATACTTTGCGTTCGGTTTTATATCTCTCCATGATATCTTTACTTCCTTGTTATCCCATTCTGGGTGCTGAGAAAGATACAGGGTTTTGGTTCTTGCCATTATGGCAGCCCTCACAACAGATAGTTGTTATCATTGCAGTTTCCTTGACATTATCTTTCCATCCTGCATTTGGTCTACCTCAAGTTCCACATCCCTCTTGTTTATTCTCCTCTTGAGATTATCTACCAAGGCGTTATTTTTGATTGCATCTTTTCAGGTTTCTCTCAGTCTTTTTCAGACATCTCATTTCCATGGCTACTAATAACTAAAAATTGATCATCAAACATTCATTCTCACAGAAATTCAGTTGTGGGTGAGGTAAAATAATTGGCACAGGTGTGTTCATTAGCTACAACATTACTCTGGCTGTTCAAGCGATAACAACACTCTGAATGTGCCAGTTATAACATTGCTCTAATTGTTCAAGCTATAACATTACTCTCACTGGACCATGCTTTTGGTGAAAAAAGGCAAGACTGTGGCACGTTTTTTTTCCCCTTAAGGCAAAAGGTGTAATATTGCTGTTTCTGCTTGAATCAATGTGATATTTCCATCGGAATGGGATCTGAACCATGCAATGGAGTACATGCACGTGGGTTCAGCCTGTCCTCAGTGTCTATTAGGCATTTGGTGATGACAATTTATCCAGTCAACAATACCAGTCGACGGAAGAGGAGAATGAAAACAGGCAAGCATGCTGGTATCTGCAGGAAGTGACTGAAATGTGACAGGCCAAGCTTCAAGTATGTTCGCATACTATACTGGAACTGTGCTTCGTCCAATCAACGTCGACCCATTTTTGAAAAGCTCCTCTATGGAAATGACATCATTGCCTTGCAAGAAACACATCTTGGCGAAGAGACAGTTGGATCTGCAGATTTTCACTGCATCTACAACTGATGACACCTCAGACAGGTAATTATTATTTGTGACAATTTATCAATGGCTGAGGTGGATATGTCTGAATATAATAGTGAAGATTTGCAAATACAGGCAGTCAGAGAGTTGGCTCCAGCCCATTTGCTCCAGACAGAGGAAAGGAACGTTATCTGCTGTGGAGGCTTCAATGCCAGAGGTAGCCAGTGGGGTAATGTCATTAGCAATTAACAGGGCAAAGACTTGGAAGATGCCCTAGTGTCTGCTGACCTAGTGTGCTTGAATGATGTCAAGGTCACCAAAATGGCAACCCAACATGGCGATTCTGATAGTGTCACTGACCTGGTTTTGGTGTCTCCCAACACTGCATCAGGACGCAGGTGGAGCACACTGAGGTATCATGACAGCGATCACTTTCCTTGTGTCATTTTGGTGGAGAAGAGCAAAACCAGAGGCCTTGAAAACAAGGTGCCAACTTTCTTTTTTTTGAGGGAAGGACGCCATCAGCAAAATCAGATGGAGGAAAGCAAGCGTTGATTGCTGAAAGCCGGAAAGATGGCGCAGCCACCATGGTGGAATGAAGAAGTCAAGAAGGTGTGGCTAGACAAGAGGCAAGCTGTCAGGGTGTGGCAAAAAGCAAGGAAAACTGATCCATCACTGTTTGAGCGCCTGACAAATCTGAAAGATGAGGTGAACAGAAAGGTGTGCTCTGAAACGTCTCCTGTGAAATTTTGGTGCCTTCAACGAAGTATGAATGGTGCCTCACGATGGAGGGGTATCCCAGACTTTCAAAGCACAGACCTGACATGTCTGGGTTCCAGGGCCCTATTTGAAAGAGGAAAGTTGGGGTTGGGCGTGGATTAGACTAAAGTCCTACAACACATTTGTGATTTTGGTCACAGGCATGAGAAAAAGTTAACAGCGTGTTGTACAAGGTGACTAATAGGGGGAATTTCCTTTGAAGTCAAAGTGCATCTGCCTGAGAGGCGAGGAACCAACAGTTCGCAAACACATAAGCCAGATCAGTAAAAGGAATGTGCAGCAAAATGCAGGTTCCAGAACAAGACAAAAGACCAGAAGTAGATGAACAACTGCATCCAAAATGATGATATGCTGACAATGCCAGATGCAGATATGAAAGACCTGGCAAGAAAAAAGTTAGGTACTCTGTTAGCTGCAAAGTGCCCTAACATAACTGTCTATACAGTTGAATGATATGCTGAACACATGGTGGTACACCAGCACCAGGCACATTCTAGTCATGTCCTGCCTACACTTCTCTGTAGTCGTCCTAGAAACAAGGCCCTAGGCCAATGTAGATCAGATAGTCGTTAACGTCAGGGATTTGTTTCTGTTGGCCTGACATCCAAATAATGGCTCTCTAAGTAGTCAATGGATGTCAAACTTGTAGGCTTCAGTCCAGAAAGGGAAACACCAGGGAAAATCCACAGTCACTCAACTGACCCATATCTCTATTTGCTTGAGAATCTGGCATTTCCAGCACCAAATGAACAGTGTATGGTTGACCAGGTCCTAATACCTGTTGCAAAAAACAAATAATTATTACATTATTAAAGGCAAGACAAGTAAGGAAGCTAATGAAAGCAGATCAATATATACAGCTTAAAGGTGTTGTTCAGTTGGAAGAGTTACACATTCAGAATTGGCCTGTTACTGTTGCCATTGTAAAGTTGTAGTTGGAGTTCTGGATTGTTGTCACCCTTACTTTGATTGAGGAATGTTTGATTGTTCAAATCACACTGACCTTAGCATTCAAGCTGACTTGTGTTGAAAAGAATACTGCCCTATGCAAGTATCAGTGGGAGCCCTTGCAACCATACCCCCTAAGCACCCTCACACATAACAGTCCTTAATTAGTCATTGACGTCTGTGGCTTAGGCTAATGTTTTTCGTAATGCCGGGGTGCAAGGAGCAGCGGGCCAAATAGTTAAAATGCTGGGCTCTCAAGCAGAGAACACGGGTTCGAATCCTCGGTAAGGCTGGGGATTTTTCTGTCCGGCACAAAAATAAAATCCTCACCTGCACAGTTATGGCAACAGCACTAGCCATGTGACCGTAAATTCTCAAAGATCCCCCTGCCTACACCACAAAAGAGGTATAATAAAGGCAGTAATCAGCAGTTTTGGCAGGAAAAGACCAGTAATTGGCAGTTTTGGCAGGAAAAGACAAGCACTGTTCTTTGGTCATGTGATGAGCATGGGAGGCTTTGTAGAATATTGTGACAACTTAGTCAGTTAGCTAGTTAGTTAGTCGGGTTATCATCATTGCACTCCGGACATGTCCATAGGTGCTCATATTCTCCCCTCAGTATTAACCCCAACGTCCGATGGCTAATAGTACCAGTTCTATGTTGATTAACAAGTGTTCTGACGTGTCTGGTGTGCGTCTCGTTTTTTGCTGTGCCGATCTCAATTCCCAAGTCTGCCATTCTGGCGAGTGATGTGGATTCACTGCCCCCAAAGTCCTCTAACCTTCTCATTTCTCTGAGGGCATTAATAATACCAGCATGATCCATAGGCTGACCGTCGGTAGTGATAGCGGATCCAGCCAGCCTATCAGCTCTTTTATTCGATGGATGATGGATGGATTGCGACAGTGGCATAGAGGGATATCATCAGTGGAACTGACCCAGAGGACAGGGGATCGAGATCTGTGGAGACACATGAACACCTACACCAGTCGTCAGGGCACATGATAATGACGAAGACAGGTAAAGGTCCTTTTACAAGCCAATGGCTGATTGGACATGTGAAGCTAGAATCTATTTATAGACCAATCGGTACTCCGTGGGTGATGTGCATATCATCATATCAACCGCCTTGACTTCCCAGGACTTTACCTGATACCTATTTTAGACTGGGTCAACCAGGGAGTAAAGGTCATTTGTAAAACAACCTGGCTTGATACAGATTCGAACCCAAGACCTTCAGAAAAGGATCTATCTTCTACGCTACGGCAGCTTCCATTACCTTATTTTTGGAGTCATGGTAGCACAGTTGCTAGTATGTTTGCCTGTGGGCTCAGTGGCCACAGGTTCAAATCTCAATTATTCCTGTCTGGGTTCCAGGGCCCTAGTTTAAAGAGGGAAGATGAGGGTGGGGAGTGGGAATTAGACTAAAGCCTTACAACACACATGTGATTTTTGTCACAGACATGATAGAAACTTAACGGCTGTTAGGATATGTCTGAGGAGATACTCTGTACCTCAACGTGGGCGCCAGCTGGCTTTGTGCTGGTTTTACAGATCCTCATGCAGGACTCCTACCCCACGTCCTTGTTGTGCGCTACGGATAATGACCTAAACCAAGCTGGCAGGAGATCTTGGAGTTGGTGGTCGAGGAAATGCAGTGCCCAGAAATCCTCTGGCACTCATCAGCCCACACCCCATACATGGGTGATAACGTACACAGAAAACCCATTTGAAAGATGAGTAAAGTCTCTACCTAATGAAAAACTCAGGTTCAAATGTCTGTCATAAAAAATTCATACTGTATGACTTTGTTCAAATGTTTGTCATTAAAATTTCATACCATATGACTTGGTTCAAATGTCTGTCATCAAAATTTCATACCATATGACTTGGTTCAAATGTCTGTCATCAAAATTTCATACCATATGACTTGGTTCAAATGTCTGTCATCAAAATTTCATACCATATGACTTGGTTCAAATGTCTGTCATCAAAATTTCATACCATATGACTTGGTTCAAATGTCTGTCCATTAAGACTGTTAGCTTCTTAGGCTTAGGTTCCGGCACTAAGTTGTAACTTCTTGCCCTGTCGCGTACCAAAACACACTAATATTAAATAGCGCAAATAGGACATGAGAAGATGTTACATCTTGTTACGAGATCAAGCTCCAAGCAGTAGCAGCCAAGAAGTCAAAGAAGGCGGACGTGTATGTCCGAGTGTAGTTCATTCATAGCAGAGTATTTACCCCGGGATAAAACAGCTTAAAGGCTGGGACGAGAAGTGTCAGATTTCTGAGCCGCGGTTCTCAAGAGACTGTAAGAGAACTGAAATGAGCATTTCTGCTGTATTTTGGGCCTTATAATAGGAACTGGTGCAAGAAACCATTAATGTTCTCCAAGGTCAAGGCGATGACCTACAGAAGTGTCTTGATGCCAAAATAGTTGTGATTAGATATCTAGTCTAATCTTCATTGAGAGTGAGTGTGAGGACATTAGAAGTGATTAGCGTTATATTGCATGTTGGTGAGTTCTTTGCACTTATTCCTTTTCGCTCGCATTGTCTGCATTGAAATTGTAATACACTATTGGTACGCTCACTCCCTGATGTTGTTCAGTTGGCAGAGTTACACATTCAGAATTGGCCTGTTACTGTTGCCATTGTAAAGTTGTAGTCAGAGTTCTAGATTGTTTTCACCCTTACTTTGATTGAGGAATGTTTGATTGTTCAAATTACACTGATCCTAGCATTCAAGCTGACTTGCGTTGAATTTCGTTGGGACGAATACTGCCCCTATGCAAGTATCAGTGGGAGGCCTCGCAACCATACCCCCTAAGCACCCTCACACATAACAGTCCTTAATCAGTCATTGACGTCTGTGGCTTAGGCTAATGTTTTTTGTAATGCCGGGGCGCCAGGTTTTATCCCATCTGCGGACAATTTATCCTGCGTTGGTTTCAACAGTGGTACCGAGAGCTGACTGTTCAGAAAGTAATAGCAAACTACCGAACGTAAAATTTGACTACAAAAACTACAACAGCTAAAAAATGCTGCAGTTGGTGCTACAAAGTTCTGTAAAAGATATGCAACTAATTTTTTTAAATTTTTTATTAGTCGCCCTTTATGAGATGCTTGTGAAGGGGCACAGTTCTAGTCTTTTTAAACCCCACCCACAAAACATGGGGGCACACAGAAAAGATTTGTCATTCTACGTACATGATGGTGAATCAAAGAAATCTTACTTCTTGGACTGTTCCATCCTCATTCCAGAATGTGATATTTGCAGACGGGTAGGAACAAATTCCAACACCAGATGAGCAAACACTGTAGATAACATAACAGTGATTAAGGTGTTAACGTTCCATTATAATGTCTCCTCACAAACTAACACTGATAGGCAAAACAGGGGTGGGGAAGATGAATAGCAAAAGGAGGAGAAGGAGCAAAACAGGGGTAAGGAAGATGAATAGCAAAAGGAGGAGAAGGAGGAGGAACGTTTAGAAAAAAAAGTTAGATGGAAAGGAACAAATTCTGACACCAGAAGAGAAAACACTGTAGATGACATACTATAATGTAGATGACATACTATAACAACACCACTAATAAACTACAAAAATTCATTAACTCGTGCCTGCGCAGAATAGAGGGAATTAAATGGTATGATAGAATAACTAATGTAGAGCTTTGGGAGAGAACTAAACAGGCTCTAGTGGACCAAGAGGTGAGGAAAAGACGCTGGCGTTAGATAGGACACACACTGAGAAAACAGAACAGCATAACTAGAATGCCTTTGCATTGGAACCCACAGGGGCATAGAAATAAAGGAAGGCCAAAAAACACATGGAGAAGAGAGCTTGAAGAATGAAGTTAGAAAGATGGGGAGGACATGGGGAGAGCTCCATACAATGGCGAAGGATAGAACGACTTGGCATGAGTTGGTTGAGGGCCTATGCTCCATAGGGGAATAGAAAGGCAGAAGAAGAAAGAACAAATTCCAACACCAGATGAGCAAACACTGTAGATAACATACTATAATGTAGATGACATGTACAGGGCATTCAACACCAGAAATATCATCTAAAACCACACCGGCATCTAGTGCCTTTAACAAACTGTCAAAGACATTCAGCAAACACACAAAACCTAAGATCTTCAACTCTTGTGTGATTCCAGTGCTAACTTATGGATGCAAGAGTTGAAAAGCAATGGTAGCTCTAAAAAATACAATTTAGACAACTTTCAGAATCGATGTCTTAGAAGAATACTAAATCTCCACTAGACAGATTTCAGATCCAATACACAAATAAGATAGGATACCAAGAAAGATAATGTAGCCAATTTTATAAGAAAGAGTCGCTGGAACTACATCGGCCATGCACTCAGAATGGATAAGACCAGATACCCCCATCAAGGCCTCATATGGACACCAGAAGTGAAAAGAAAACAGGAAAGACCAAGGGAGACCCTGTGTAGAACCATCATCAGGGAAGGCTCAACCATGGGCCTAATGAACACTGACGACCTAAAACAGGTGGCAACGAACCGCCAGACATGGAGAGCTGTGACCTCTGCCACATGCACAACCCTAGGTTCAAGAGGAAAGTCTAACTAATAAATGCCAATATGGGAATCACTGTGGTGTAGTGGCTTGACACACACCTGCGGATCGGAAGGTCGTGGGTTTGGGTCTCACTGAGCCGGACTTTTTTTTTAAATGACCCAGGTTTGAGTGTGTACCAGGTGCAGTCAAAGGAAGTAAAGGTGGCGGGTGTGATACTGACATCACCTACTAAGTGCCGATTAGTCTAAAAAATGAAGGTCAAGCCCTATATGCCCTATACCCATCTTTCAGACCACAATTATAAGTTATCAATAAAGTATGTTATGTTTACATTAAAATATACATAATGAATATCAAGTAAAAAAAAAACAAGAAAAGGAAGGGGGAAACAAAGGAAGAAAAAAAAGGAATTACATTTTGGCAGATGTTTGCTACTTCCTCTACACGACACCCACCTCTCTCACTTTAAATTAAATCATCTTTTGAGCACTTACCTAAATGCCAAATGAACAGGCCTTGAGATTTCGGCAGTAGGCACATATGATGTGTAAAATGTTGCATACAACATCAGCGAAACCGCAACCAACACAATAATAACAGACCACACAAATAGCAGCTTCTGTACGGTAGACACTGTTTTACTGAACATATAGTCCACCATATATATCAAGGATGCCTGCAGTTTTCTTAATGGCCATGTTAAAATAACACCGATTATCTCCACTCTTTCATAAAGCAAGTTACAAAGTCGGTGGCCAAGCAAGTTAGAAAGTCTGTTGCCAATCTGTTGAAGAGTCATAGTTGCTGTTGGTCCTGCTCCAGTTTTTACAATACAATCAAATAAGTTACGAAATCCTCAGATTACCACATCCGGTACACAAAGTTGTTTTTGAAAAGAAAACTGATGGAAACATTTTTCACTATAATAGTTGGTGCTTTATTAATATCCTACCCAAAACAGTGGAAATCCACAGGTCACGGGACAGTCTAATATTTCAGGGGGTGGTAGATAGGCTGTATGCAGTTGTGGGACCTAGGCTGCACTCTCTCGAGGGACGTTGGTTGGTTGGGGTGAGGGCCAGTTCCAGATGTTTTTGAGTCATTAAAAGCATCATAAAGAAGGGAAACCTAGTCTTACCACCCCCTAAAGTGTTGGACTGTCCTGTGACATCATCTGGGGGGAGGATATTAATAAAAAAAAACTAATAGTTTAATAATTTTATAAAACAATTCTAGACATATACTGTTACTTCATTAGATGGTTATGGTATTAAAAAAAAAAATAATATTAAAAAGACTCACTTCTGGCAAAACAATCATTATGTGAAAAAAAAATATTTAAAACTGCTTTCTTTTCGGGAGAGGTTAGCTACAATGTATCCACCCCAAAATATGGGAATATTTTATGTAGTGAGGCCCAGATCTTTTCCACGGTGTCTTGCCCATAAATGCATGTGGGGTGAGGGTATGGGGTGGAGAGTTGGGGTATATGGGAAGCTTGGTTTGCCTTCTCACAAGATCATGAGGTCTGTTTTCTTCCCCTTTTTCGTTTGCATTTGAAAGGGCAGTTGGAACAATGCATTATGGTTTGCTAGGTGCAGTATCTGTGTTTTGTGACCCAACACAATTAGCTTCAGCAAATCCTTAATTACTACTCACCTTTTACAGCATTTTTATTTTTTACGGGGCAGTGGGTTTATTCTTGTCCCTTAAAACCTAAACTGAGAGGTGTTTTCTTGTATTGAAAATGCTTAATTTCCAAGCCATCAGTTATTATTTTTTAAATCTCTTCAATGGCTGGTACTGATCTACTTCCTTGTCAGTTTTTGTGTGTGTAATGTGTCATTTTCAAACTGTTTTAAAAAAAAAAAAAAACACTAATAAGGCTGTTTCAGTGTGAAGATCTGCAAGTATTTTGATCATGTTAACCTGCCTTGCTCTACCAAGTAACTTACTACTTATTGTAGTTGGACCTGTAAAGCGTCCTGTGATTTAGACACAATGTAATTATCTAGAGGTCTACCATGCAAGCAATGGATAGATAAGACATTAGCTGCTGTAATTTACAGTATCTACGTACCAAAGATCGCACACGATTTATTTTCAGAACCTAATATTGAAATGCTGAACAGGACTAGAAAATAAACCTGAAGTGTAATTTGTTTTTCAAACTTTTTTTCCTAGAATTTTTCCTAAGCTGATAATTTTACTGCAGTCACCTCATTCAGATATATACTGTCAGTTCTGCCATAACTGGAACTTTTAGTGTGGTCTTGTCTTATCTGACACTTTATATATATATATATATATATATATATATATATATATATATATATATATATATATATATATATATATATATATATATATGCTCTCTAGCGAAGTTGGTTAAACCTGACTTTCGCGGCGGCCGGGTGACGGACTCCTTGTGGTCCGGGTTCACTCCCGGGGGTAGGCAGAAAAGTCACATTTCTTCCAGATTAACGGTACCTATAATGGAATCAATGCCGAAGGGTTGCGATATCCATAGTACCAAGCCAAAGGGTTTACAACTCATGGTTTCTGGATACGTTTAAAAAAAAAATATATATATATATATATTTTTTTTTTTTTGGTGCAATTTATTTCAAACTTTTATTTTCTGTATCAAGTCTTATCCTCAGTTCTTTATTGTTTCATTTGTTTACATAATTTTTGAATACCCTTTGAGTGTGTGCGTTATGTTTTGTTTAATTGTTCTGCTGATGAAGATTCACTGCCACAATGTCCTGTTTTTTTTTCAACTTGGTCTGTAAAGCTTAGATGTAGGTCTTTGTTTACAGCTATTGATGTCATCAGCGGTTATTTTACCCTTGCCTTCCTCCAATCCCCATTTTTCTTCCATTATTTTTGGTTGTATTCCTTGCCAATGTTATTAAAATCGACGTCATGCAGTGGGCACTTTTATGCTTGCACAGTGCTTCAATGCAGCAGCCACTCAAAGGTACCTCTAGTGACTGTTCCCATGAGGAGTTAGTTATAGTATTTTCTAATGTGACCCTTTATACTAAAAATTCGGCTATCTTCCGAATAACGGTCCCAAATTATTGAGGCCAAAAATATACCCTAACAGGGCCTCAGTCACATGTAAACTGCTGACTTCTGCCACCGCCGAGAGTATCTCTCATGCCGCTATACAGCGTGGAAGATACTCTCGACAGGTGGCGGTAGTTGCCGGAAGTGCACAATTTAAGTCACTGGAAGTCCGCAATTTACATGTGACTGAGGCCCTGTTAGGGTATATTTTCAGCCTCGATAATTTAGGACCGTTATTCAGAAGATATCCAAAAAATGCAATGCTGATCCTATTCTAAGGTTCCAGATTTTTTTGGTGGATGGAAACAAACAGAATTTTAACCTTTTTTTTTTTGTGGTACGCAATACCAGCACCTTTTTTAGGCATTTTTTTTAGCGCCAATATAACAGACTCTTTGTGGTGAGCAGCAGAAGTTTTTTAACACTTTGCACTGGCACTTTTCTTCTATGAAAAAAGCCCTGGTTGTATCTAACCTTAAAATGTATCTGATATGCAGCATTAAAAAATTAAAACAAAATGTGAGGGAGGGGGAATACTTGATATACTGATACTAAAAGACCTACTATTTAATTTTATATTCTGACACTGATGGTATATTCTGACTGATTCAAGTCGACAAAGGTGTCGTTGCTATACATTTTTGATAAATGAGACCCACATTTTCTTTCTCAAAAATGGAAAGCAAGATTCAAGAAAATTGTTAGTTATAAATTTTACATTTAGCACCACTGTAATTTGTGTAGGTGAGCGGCTTTTATGATCTTTACCCAAGGATAGCATTTAAGCAAAAATAAAACGTAAGATTTGTAATACTGTAATTATAGCTAATGATATCTACATCGAAAGGGGGGTAGGCAATTCTACTGTGGAGTCTGGAGCATTTAAGAAAACGTTTCAAAACACAGGTTGTCAGAATTTAAAAATAGAAACTGAAATCACGTGACAGAGTACAAAATCGCCAACAATAATTAAAATCTGTTATTTAAAAATATTTAATATCAATACAATAATATTTAAATAAATTAATTCAGAAATAGCAATAATTTTAAAAATATGTAATTATAATTCTATTAATTATGAATTAGTAAAGTAAAAGCAAATTGTCCCAGCTGTAAGCGGATGTTGAAATGCGGATAGCTGGGAAAGGAGTTCAACCCGCCATAGTGTTGTGCAGTTATTGACTACAGACGGACAACACGTTTGGAGTCGTTTCTCATTGTTTTTCTGTCACTGCGGCGACTTCAGAATTTACACATGGCATATTAGTTTGATAGTCATCTGTGTCTAAATTTACGGATTATTTTGTTCCCGACTGTAGAGATTCAAGGCCCCGAAAGATTCAGAAACGCGAAGAAGGCAAGTTGTGACTTAGACGGGTGAAGGGAAGTTTTTGACTATGACTAACTTCTGTGAAGACTGAAGTTAGCTCAAGTTCAGAGTTAACTTCCTTATAATTGTGATATCTAATCAGCGGTGTGATTTTATATATTACATTCAGGGTAACGAATACATTAGTTAAATGATTATATTTAGAAGAAATTTTTTTAACGCTTAGAAAAAATCACGAGTTCTCTCTATTGCGTTCCAGTCATAAGTGCTACTGAGCTGCTCTGTACTCAGGCTACTGCTACATTCACAAATGAGGAATAACAACGCAAGGAGTGACAGCTAAAGCTTTAACTCAAGCATACTTTTAATATCTTGCTCAGAATAAATTATACAAAGCCCTCAACTGTGCCGTGGGCATCATTTTGTGAAGTTTCTAGTCAAGGAAAGTAGTGTTTATGATTATGCCCCATTGCCATTACACTGTTTGTTAGCATTAGTTGTAAGTTATATAGTTATAATTTACCATGGTTGAAGCCTAAGAAATCCTTTATTTTAAACAGTTTAAAAAAATCCATAAGAAATAAATAGTTACAAGAATTTGGCAGTCAACAAATTCTAGTTGTGGAATTTTGTTTTGTAGAGGCTAGAGCCTGTTGCACAAAACTCAAAAAGTTAACCAATGGCAGTTTACGGTATCACTGTCTCTGGGAATATTACATGGTGCTGCTCTAGTCTTTTCCGTGAAACTTGTGCCAGAGTCTAACTAAAGGCCTTGAGAAAGGTCAATTCTTTAATTAAACCATCTGCTGCGGAAATCGAACCTTACAGCACGAGGATTATGAAATGTGTGTTTGTTTTTATTGCTATTGAATTGAGCTTTGATTTTCATTGATCATTTTTTTTGCCATCTATTTTGCTGTTTGACATTTTTTTGGGCCAATGTTAATGATTAATTAATACAGGATACTCCTGTTTTTGTCAAGAACAGTGTTTACCATTTGGGGGTCAAAGGCCCCAATATTTAACTAATTTAAAGGGTGCGTTTAAAAAATTATAAAAGGTTGGGTGAAAAATTTTGTTTTCTTTTTTTTTTGGTGACATGCAGAATAAATTTATGGGCTCCATGTTTGCAAAATCCACTTAACCTATAGAATGTAATCCTTACCACAATTCTAATTTGATAAATTACTAGATTTTATTGCTCAGCTTTGCACAGGATAATGAAAGTCTTATTCTCCCATCCTTTACTTTATCTGTGTCTCCACAGCTGCCCTATATGGTGGCCTAGTGGAGATAGGGGTCTAATTAAACCCTATATGTAACATCATATCTTCTACTTCATCTTTGTCCCCACCGCTGCCGTATCTTTAGTCATTGTCCCTAAATGCATCCGAGGCATCCCCTGTAATATTAACATCAGTATTCAACTATTTGTTGACAGATAAGTTTGTTTTCTCTGACACATGTAGATATGTGGTTTCAAGGCAGATAACAGCAAAATTTAATTTTTAAAATTTACCATTTCAATGAAAGTAATAGTGAAAAAATGTCTAGAAGGATATAACACCAGTGAACGTTTCCTTCAAAGTTAAAGTGCATCTGCCTGAGAGGCAAGGAACCAACAGACTGTATACAGATAAGCCAAATGAATGTACATGCAAAACTCAGTTTAAGTCCTGGAATAAGACTGAGTCTAGAATGGGATGAACAGCCTTAACTTTTCTGCCAGTACACTGTCAGTGAACTCTAAGAAGAATTGTTCTCGTCTAGAATGTCTTATAAATTGATTTTTTTTTCTTTCTGTTTTTTATGTTTTACAATTGATTTTTCCGGTTTTTTTTTTTTTCCCCCCGTTAGAATGTCTTATGACCATGTAGGGCCCAAAAACCAGTACCCTGGAGTGACTGGGCCGCTGAGCCTGTCAGAGCCTAAGGCTCATGACTTGGAGCTGACTACCAAACTTGTCGAGGCTCTGCAGCCACACAATGTGTTTGAAAGTGAGGCTGAACTGAATCATCGGTAAGTAGTGTTTTTGGCAAATGTTTCTTGTTTCAAAATTTTGGGGTCAAGGAGAATGTTTTGTTGAGCTAAGAGTCAACAACCAACGCATTCACATAAGCTCTTAACCTTCATTAGCCATTGATTGGTGTCAAGATGAAAGATGTGTAACGTATAAGTCAGTAGGAACATTTCCGGACAGCTAAATTAGTACATCTGCCTCTAAAAGTCTTAACGTCAGGCAAAAGATGTCGTGTAGAGATTAAAACAGATTGACCAAGAGAAAGTAACATGGATGGAGCATATACTCATAAATAATAAACTAACAGTTGCAACAACAACAAAAACGAAAGAAAAAAATGCTTTACAGAATCTGTAAGTAAACAGGCAATGCTTTTATCAGCACTTTCTTTATGTGTATATAAAATTTAATAAAGAAAAGTTACTCTTCCTTTCCTTCCATTGAGCTTTGAGGTCATAGTTTGTGTGTATGTGTTTAGATACTGTCTTGATTAATTCTTTTTATTTTAGCACACACAATATTTTTTCTATCAAAAGGGGGGATGGGGTATACACTGCTTCTTGAAAAAGCATATTGTAAGACATTTCATTAGTTACAGATTTGCTGAAATCTGATGTGTCAACTAGAAAGTAGATAATACAACCTGCAAACCAACCTGTTGGAGGGCAAACTCAGAAGTCCATTGATAAAGACTGGTCAACATTTAAAAAATAAAATGGGAGCCGTTTTTATTTATGTAGAAGGCTTTACATGATTACCATTGTTTTGATAACACATTTTGATGTGTGCCGTCCACTGCTGGAGATGTTTGTCGATCATGAGTGATGAAGACCACTTTATCCATAGTAGTAATGATTATGAGTAAAAAGGTGGCTGATTAGTCCAATATGAGTCTGGAAAGTTCTTGAGCAATGCGGTCAACAGATGAAAGCTGCAGTAAGTGTGGGATTAGCAGTACAATTCTTTCTAGTCTGCCACCATTACTCTGCCTGTGCGGTCGATGCATCATGCTCGAGCGACGTACGTCCTCTAGAACGGCCTCGCACATCAGCCCCCACGTCGCTGCATTGGTGCTAAAAGAATTGAGAGCAGTTTTGAGAGTGTCCTTATAGCGCTTTTTCTGTCCTCTCAGAGACCCCTTCCCTTGATTGAGCTCGCCATAAAATACTCTCTTTGAGGTTGTTGGGGGGGAGGGGGCGATTTCTGGCATGCGGGTTAGGTGACCAGTCCAACGCAGCTGATAATTCTTCAGTATCATATGGGTGCTAGGCGGGTTTTCCCTATCAAGAACCAGAGTATTTGGGATCTTATCTTTGCCGTTTGTTTTTAGAGGAGTCTGCTCAGGAACACATATAAGCACAGTTTGTAATGGCTTGGGTGATATGTGTTTTTCACCTGTATGAAAATGTATGTGAATCTGTTCTCTTGCATGAAAATCTTCATTTTCCAACATTCTTGCTTACCCAGAGAAAACACATAACCTTATGTTGTTTGAAATTGATGTGTGCTTAAGATGAACATCAGTTGTGATTATAATTGTTTTTCAACTGTTCCCTTTATGTCAGGATGGAGGTGCTTCACAAAGTCAATATTCTAATGAGAGCATGGATTAAAGATGTTAGCCGACAGAAGGTGAGTTATACGTGTATATATATGGAGTCTACATTTCTTTGACAAATTAGTGCTACCTCATTTGTCAAAGTAATGTAGACTCCAAAATCTATGTTCTAAATTTATATAAATGTTCGGCATTATATGCCTTGTCAAATAGTATTAAGAGAGAGATATATATATATACACACGTGTATATGTATATATAAATGTGTGTCTGTGTATATATATATATATCACGAACCAGAGCCTTAGTGTAGAAAAATCATTTTAACATAATACAACTGGCAACAATATGCAGGCCACTTAGCTAGATTTGGCTAAGAGCCTGGCAGAATTTTTTTTCCACCTTTCAATGACAGAGATATATTGAATAAGATGTTCTTCATTTTATAAAATGTAGTTTTTGCCTGTCCTGTTCTGTTTCATATTTCAGTAAAAAAAAAAAAAAAAAAATCGTTGCAAGTTGTCAGCATCAAGGCAGCTTCTTGTCTCACTGAAGATATTTCCAGCTGTACTAAACAGACGTTCACTTGGTACGCTCGTAGGTGGTGCACAAAGATAACACTTGACAGTATGAACCAAGGAGAGAAATCTTGACACGTTTATTTTCCACCTGCCCAGAAACGGGTGCAAGGTAACCACTATTCGTATTCGACCCAAATACTGAATAGATATTAGGTCCACTATTCGACCCAAGGCAAATATTCGGTACAGCCCTACAGGGAACCGACATGTTGAAAATGGGTTTAGTCACAGCTCAGGGACCCAAAGCCCCTGCTTAAAAAGATCAGTAATACAATGCAGTTGACGGCGATTGGCGGATTTGGTCCATGGGCCGCAAGTTCAATAGCCCTGATTTACAGTTTACTTTATCGGTTTAAATGGTCATGGATAGGCTCTATAATAAATAGCAGTAGAGACTGACAGAAATCAAAAGGAGGATCGCCGTAGCAATGCAGAGAATAAAGAAAAGAGCATTACAAGTATAGGGTTAAGAACCTGCTAGGAAATCAAGATTAAAATTTTGAGAGCAACATACGTATGTGAGCCATGGACTATCTCCCAGTCCTTAAGAAAGAAAATAGGGGCTTTTGAGCTGAAATGCTACAGAAAGATTCTCAGAATACCATGGACAAAGAAGAGAATAAATACTGACATCTTAAAAGATCTGAGCATTAAGGAAGATTGACTAATAAACAGCATCCTGTCTCGGAAACTGAAATATTTGGGTCATATCAAGCGCCACGACGGAATAGACAAATAATAGTAGAAAGCATGGTACCAGGAAGGTGGGGCAGGGACTAATCAACACAAAGATGGGCGCAGGATATAAGTGACTCCTTAAATATGAAAGTATACAAGGCGGGATAGCTGGCGAGGACAGAGTTTCTTTTAGGCTGACTGTGATGAGAGCGAGGTTCTGCAAAGGACCTGCTACATATGATGGTCATGGATGAGTTTTTAGGCCTTCTTTGGAGATTTTACATTAGGAAACCCCCATAGGTGCTCCGTCTCCATCAGCAAAAGTTGGGGACTTATGTTGATTCGTTAACACACTGATTGTAAGCTCATCTTGCTGTTATTATTGAAACTTGAACAGTGTGAAAATCACAATGATTTCATGTTGTTCAAGGTGTTACCTACTACAGCACAGACAATTACCTTTTGTTTGATTAGATTTTTCCATTTCTTCTCATTTTTCAGAATAATATCCCAGATAATTTGATAGATACTTTCGGAGGGAAAGTATTCACATTTGGTTCCTACCGTATGGGGGTTCATACCAAAGGTAAGTGCCCTATAAACTACATAAAACTCATACAATTGTTTAGATTTAGTTTGGTGAATCATGTCCTTTGTACAAGTAATGGTTATTATTGGGTGGTTGCAAAAGACTAATTTCTTGCTGTCTAAGAACTTTCAAGTTAGGGAGATGTAGAAAGATTTGTTTGTTGATTGTGTCCTTTGTGGAACCAAGCCCAGCAATTTTTGGTGATTGTGGTTTCTCTTGGCAGATTTACATTCAGTAGCTTGCCATTGATTTCTAAACAGTCGGCTCTCCTCACCACTGTCGAAACCAACGAATTGCTTGCAGCTGAGATTGAACCCTGCACTACCAAGCGCTTTTTGCAGTGTCGAAGCCAGAAGTGTCGACTTTAGAAAGGTACCGTGAAAAGATGTGGAACCAAACAGGAAGTAGGGCTGGTCAGCTTTATAATCACAGATGAGTGTTGTGGCTAGGAAGTCTTCATCAGCGTAGGACAAAAACAGACATTGATGCACTTATAAACTAGAAACCATGAAATCACTTATCTGCAGGTTGAGGTCTCTTCCAGAAATATCTGTAGTGTGTCTGGGCAGTAGAAACCTTTTGAGTCGCATTTCCCCATGTGGGTTCCGGAGCCCATTGGGGGAGGGGATAGACCACTGCTCCCTAACAAAAAACATATCATACAAATTGAAGTTCTGTAACAGGACTGCAGTTCAGGCAAGGAACCAATGTCTGCATAACAATCAAAAAAAGTCTTCCAAATTGAGTTCTACAGCTGGTTGAACATAGTGGAAGAAAAGAGTCTTCAGAGTCCCCTTGAACGTGAGTAACCTAGCAGCGCATGAACTGCTTGCTGCTCTGTGAAAGCTGCTGCAGAAAAGCTGATTGGATCCTCTTGAAAGACTTTGTTTTGCAAAATGTGACTGTGTGTATGAACATTTTTAAAATTCTTATACATCATATTTGTCATTCAGCACACAATAGTTCTTTTATTTCTATTGTGGCTAGTCAAATAGAGAGAGGCTTACTGTTGCTGTTTCTCCCACAGGTGCTGATATTGACACATTGTGTGTTGCCCCACGCCATGTGGAGAGATCAGATTTTTTCAAGTCTTTCCTGGAACTGCTGAAATCACAACCTGAGGTCAAAGATTTACGTGTAAGTCTCTGTCTGTATATATTGTAGCTTTAAGAGTTCACCTCTACATGATGCTGTTTTAGACACAAGAGTTAGCATTATCAGTTGTTGTGTGGGTTCCAGAGTCCCATTATGGAGAAAATAAGAATAGACCCACTGCCTCACCACAAAATCTCTCTACGTCTCTGTCTATTTTCGTTGTAGCTTTAAGAAAAAAAATTCCAAGTTTAGTAGACAGCTGGCATGTGGTTTCATTTTAAAAGTTTGTCGTCTATTTTTTTTTAGCGTAAATATTTTTTTTTCTTCTTCTTGCTCTGTGTTGAGCCATACAAGGGTGACTGGCATGTTTTTACAGTCAGGCCGATGTGGTCCTGGGACCAATCTAGGGAGAACATTAGTCTGTGACTGTGTTGCTAATGTAGGCTGACAATTGAACAGTGGCGAGTTCACTTCTGCGTGATGCTGTATTCAGCACAAGAGTTAAAATTATCAGTCCTTATATGGGCCTCTAGGTCCCGTTGTGGGTGAAACAAGAATAGGTCCACTGCCTCACCAAAAAGCATGTCATAAGACATCTGATTGGGGACATCCTTCGAAGTTTGAGTGCGTCTCCCTCAGGGGCAAGGAACCATTTCAATTTTTTTTAAGCCTTTGAGTAAATTCATAGCCAGACACATGCAGATCAGATACAATTTATAAATTACAGTTACATCCAGATCCACGTTCATTCCAGTTCCCCTTCTTTCTTTCAGGGGTCCGGTCACAGAATGACCAGCTATTCTTACCCCTATTGCCTCGTGTTGCCCAGGCAAGCTCACCATATCTTGTGTTCCTCCTTTCCCACACTAACCTGGGGAGTTCCCTCATTCTAGTAACCAATCAGACCCCCTATTTTATTCCTATTTTTAGCAGCATCTACTTCTGTTGATAGGATGCTGTTGAGTTTCCATGTTTGAGGCCTTTCTTTTCACTTAGACTCTGTATCCAAGTTATTTTTTTTTTGCCCTTCCTAATATATCATTTTTGAGAGGCCTGCAGATCATTGTATTTTCGATCTTTTCCCCATTGTTGTCCCCGGAACTAACCCGGGAAGGCTAACCTGAGCAGACAGTGTGCCTGCAAAGGTAGGATTTGTTGGCCGAAAGGCAAAAATATCGCAGCCATGTTGTCAACAGGCACAAAGCATTTACATCCTGGGATGAACAAAGAAGAGAAAAGAGGTTCAAAGTTGTCAATGTGTTGAGTGATGATTACGCAGAATTCGGAAGAACAACACATTTGTCACTTTCTTTCAGGCTGTTGAAGAAGCTTTTGTTCCAGTGATCAAAGTTGAGTTTGATGGAATTGAGGTAAGTGTGATGCAGATACTGGTTTCTGTCTGTTTAAACTGTTCCTACACATTGCTTTCAGAGTGATATATTGTTCTGTATGTTGCTGCATATTAAATATTTGATAGTGAAAATTGGAACACAACAAAATAATGGAATGAAAGCTGAATGCCTATTACAAAAACCATTCACAGTTTTAGAGGGGAGGGGGGGATAAGCTGTTGTATGCAGTCCGAACATTCATGATAGGACACCCTTACTGGACAAGCCATGTGACAGTAGAAACAAGGTGGAGAGTTGTTTGGAATGTGTGGCTGAAAGAAGGCAGAAGGCCCAGAAGCAGTTCTAGATACATATGTATTTTTTTTAAACTTAAAGGCCTAGGAACACTGGAGAGCTTAGTACAGTGTGCTCTGGATCAGAGATAAATGTATGGCTCAGACGTCGTTTCTATCGTTACATAGCTTTTTTAGAATGGGTGCCCTATCATGAACTTGCACACAACAAAGCCTGAGCATCAATATGCTCTAAGTCAGGTATGATGCTGATATATTCACCATTATCATATTGCATGATAAATATGAGTGCTTGTAGTTCACCCTCTCATGATCCCCCAGCTTGGGTCATGTCTGTGTTCTTGTCTTATCATCATTCGTTTACCTTTTAAAAACAGTTATGTTGCTGCTGTACAACATAATATACCTGTTCTTCACATTTATTAGGAGTGCGTCACCAAAGATATGAGCCTACCGCATATTAAACAATATTTGATAAACATGTTACTTCTTTAACACATTCACCAGCTGTAAACTCCACTTCACAGTTTTGTTTGTTCTACGCATTTCTAAACTTGTTCCCTTGGTCTTGTTCCCTTACTTGAGTTTTGCTTGCACACCCGTTTTACAGATCTGATTGACAAGTATGCAGACTATTGAGTCCTCACCTCTCAGATAAGTGCACTTTGACTTAACAGAAATATATTACTATTCGACCAGAAAATCCCGTCATGCACATGTAGATATTTTTATTTTGCACGTCATATTCTAACGTGTTCAATAGTATAAAACTACAAGTGTCAAGACCTTCGAATCTGAACCTAACCTGACTAGGGTTGCCCCAGACTTAAATAAGTAGCAGGTATATCCAAGAAGTAGAGGCGGCCGGCGTTATGCTGACCACATTACCCACTGAGCGCCGATTGGTCAGTAAAGAATAGGTGTATGCATAGTGGCATGGAAAAGGATCCTTTACTTGTCAAGACCTGCCATAAGTTACAGAAAATATCTGGCCAACATCATTTTCACTTGGGTGAACCTGTCCTCGTTTGATCCTATGCAGCTTGATTTGGTGTTTGCATGTTTCATCATAATTTGCTTTAAGTTACACATAAAATATTTGCTCAACATTACTTTCACTGAGTTGACCCTGTATGTGTTTTATCCCCCTACAGCTTGATTTGGTGTTTGCACGTCTTGCATTAGCAACCATTCCGGATGACATCAACCTCAGAGATGAGTCATTGCTGAAGAACTTGGATGAGAAGAGTGTTCGTAGTCTCAATGGTATGTTTTGTGTCATTTGTTATCTTTAGAGGTGGGTGGGACACAGACATGCGCGACACACGCATGCACACACGCACACACACACAAGGATTGCAGTCTGCAGGACAAACATGTCAAGGAAAAAATGAAATAGGGACTAATCCTGGAAACCCTATTCAATCATACTGCTATAACCTAGTTATATTGGGGCACCACAAAACTGTTTACAAAGTAACATGTAGTCCAGTGTTGGTGGGTCTGGTGTATGTTACCTTTGTTTACCACACTAACTCTTTGAGTCCCAAGGAACGCATCATACGTTCATAGATTCCTACCTAGAAGCCCAATGAACGCAAGATGCGCCGATTTTACATCTCTTTTGACTACCCCTTGGGCCTCTGGTGCTAAACCCCCTGGGACTCAAAGAGTTAATGGGGGCTTGCTGAGAAGGTCACACAAAGCACAAACTCCATAACCATGGTGATGATCTCCAGGGGTATCTGTAAAAATGTCACTCATCCTGCCCTCAATACTCATTAAGTATGTATGGTGGCCTTGTTTTACAGGACTTTACTAGGAAACAAATGACAAAACTATAAGCAGCAGTGCATCCCGTAAATTAATTACAATTAAAAACTATTAAGAAGTTTAAAAACTGCATATTCAAAGGTTAAACATTGTTAGGGCAAATGCCCAGAACTTTCCGCTGGAGTTTACAGCCGGTTAACAACAAGAAGTTATTAGCCATTGGCTTGACACTAGCAAGCAAACAAAAGTGACAATTCTGAGAACACACAGCCTTCCTGAAACAAAATAAATATACTGATGCAGCATAGTTACCCTGAACAGTCTTGCCCATTTGCCGAACTAATGGAAGGGTTTTGTGGTATTATTTGCAGCAAAAGAAAAAAACCCCACAAACTTTAGAGTGCAATCCTGTTATTTGTTATAAAATGTTTGACTATTGAAAAGTGGGAGGTTTGTAGTAGACCTTCAGTGATAAGAAAGATCTTAAGTGGAAACCACTGTCTGTGCTTAAAGTTCAACTGCAGGCCCGGTAGATCAGATGGCTGGAAGTCTTTTTTTGCTGATGTTGCTAGTGGCCAGATGCTCACCTGCTAGCCTGAAGGTCCGGTAGTCCGCATAAAGGCAGATTTCTTACAGAGTGGCCTTGGCTCTCAGATCAATCCAGTTTAAAATGGTTGCCAGATAATATGCTGTTCAGTTAATTTCCCTCAGGGGCCAAAATGTTGCCAGTGGGGATCAAAGGTGCGAGCCCCAAGACAGAAAGATCATTCATTGGTATGATACAGTTGGTGGGGGGACATTTGCTAGTCCTCTGCGGGTTGAGTTCAGCCTGCAGACCGCCAGTTGAGTAACCCTGCTGTAAAGTCATGATGGTCAGCATTATGTTGACCACATCACCTGTCAATGTCATTTGGTTTAAAAAAAATAGTCTTGCGCTATATTCCAGATTTGACAACACTATATTCCAGATTTGCCATTGGTGCATAAAGGGGGTCATTTCCATTTTTTTTTCAACTTTATTAACTTGTAATGTTGTTGGTAGTTTGTTTTTTTTCCCCCGTGAATAGAAATTTATAGAACACTGTGGTTGTCTAACACTTCACAATCCTTTGGGAGTATATGTCTGCTATGTGGCAACTTTTTACCTTTTCAGCATAAATGTTTGTTATTTCTGCCTTAATCTAGGCATCATGGGTATTTCCTAACATCATTGATCTGAATATCCATATCTGAATTTCAGGTATGCGTGTAACTGATGAAATCTTACACCTGGTGCCAAACCAGGAAACGTTCCGAATGACACTCCGTGCCATTAAATTATGGGCAAAAAGTAGGTTTGGTTTCATGTGTCTTTCATTTCTTCTTCTTTTCGTTCGTCCGAGTGATGTAATGTGTGTTATGCCTGTTTACAGCAGAGCTGCGATATTTTTGTCTTCGGCCGACACATTGACTTCATCAAGCATTGGTTGACTGGGTTAACTTCCTGGATTGTTTCGTGAAACAGGGACATGTGGCCTTATTTGTGAGGTGTTCTCTTTGTCCCCTTTTCTACGGGTCTTGCCCCTGGAGACCCTTTCAGGACATCCACATGTAGACAGGTCAGCCCTCATGGAAGGCAGGGTGAGATCATGGGCATTCCCCGTCATCCAAGGAGGCTTCCATAAATGCAGAGTTGACACGTGACACTCTGGTCCTGGCTCACCAAAGGAATTGTCACATTCTGCACATGTCTGCTTGATCTCACATCTGTCTATTGAGCTTTCCAATCGTCACAAGCTACACCCACCGGAGATCAACAGAAAGCAGCCCGCGGGTCTGAAACATCAATGGCCGGTGGGAGCTTGACTTTTTTCCCCCTCCAAGTCAGCACTCTGACAGTTTGTCGTGTACCACAACGCGGTGACTACGACATTTGGGTACAGCAAGGAATGTTCAGAGACAGGATTGTTTTACCAGTTACTGTCTGCAAGAGATATTACACATCTAGGCTGCGAGCAAATCTATTTTTTTTTGGGGTGGGGGGCTGAATCTTAGCAGTACAGTGCCGCACACCGTGGACTTGCTGCATGAGGATCCGTAAAACAATCTTGGATATTTCATTTGATTTCTTTGTTCTTGTCTGATTTATGGATCATTTGCACCGAATGGTCTAGTGTTAAAATTCTTAAATCTAATTTATTTGTGAGCAGAAACCTGGAGAGAGAGCCTCAATTCTTAACTTTGTACTGCAGGAACATAAGCCATGGTTAAAACCTGTTTATGCTGCAGAAACATGAGCAGTGAGTTGAAATACATCTCTTCTTTGTGGTGCAGGAACATGGAGAATGAGCCTAAATGGTTAACTCTGCTTTATCTTGCAGGTACAAAAACCGAGGGTTAAAAACTCTACTCTGTACTGCAGAAATGTGGACAGTGGTTTAATTCACAGGAATTCAGTAATATGGGCAGTATAGATCACCCTGAAATGAATGTTCTAACCTATGCGTTCTAGAATTCATAATCACCTTTGATCATGAGAGCTATTAGGCTGAAATGGTTGTGGCATATCGAAAGAATGTCAGATGACAGAGAAGTAAAAAATGTATACACAAGGGGGATGAATGGTCGTAGACCACGAGGCAGACCACGAAGAGGATGGAGAGATAATGCCCAGGCAGACCTGCAAACACTTGGTGTCACCAACTGGAAAGAGAAGGCCAACCAGAGAGATGAGGGAGGCGGGTGATATCTTCAGCATTGAACCTCAAGGGCTCGGAAATGCAGAAGAAGAAGATGTGTTATAGAATATAAATTATAGATCATAACTTCATTATCATGAAAACTTTCATTTTATATTAATTGTTTGCATATTTGTTTATTTTTTTTCTCTGTCAGTGAAAGGAATCTATTCAAATTCCATGGGTTACCTTGGTGGTGTATCCTGGGCCATGCTAGTTGCTAGAGTATGCCAGTTGTACCCCAAGGCTGCCCCAGCAACAATTGTACACAGATTTTTCCTGGTGTTTTCAAAGTGGTATGTATTTATTTTTTCACGCTGTTCTGCTTCTGTGGTTTTGGCAAGCTAATTTATGTTCCATGGTGTAAGTGATCAAATGTCGATAGAATATTGTTGCCAGATCTCCTGGAGGACATATTCTTAATTGCAGACTTTATAGCGATGACTTAGTTCCATCCTGGGTGGTATAGTAACACACATTCCATATACAGAACAGATCTGATCAGGAGAACTCACAGAGGAACCCAAGGAATTATTTTTCTTATCAGACATTTCTCTTATCCAGATACAATTTTGAGCTAGAAAATTGTCGGGTATAAACAAATTGTTCTTCACAACAGAAACTCCTACATCCCAAATCGCCTTAAGCGTTCTGCATTGTATAATCACAAGCTGTGTAAGCATTAAGTGCAAGACCTATTTGCTAACTGACTATCATCGTCATAGAGATTTGCTGACTCTTGCAGGCTTGTAGTATGCAAAGCTTGTAGTGCTCAGTTGAACTCACCACAGTGAAGATAACAATCAATCCTTCCTTTAGCCAGGCTAATGTCCATCCTAGATGGGGCATACAGAGATTAAGAGAAGCTTTGTGGACAGTATGCAACATTTAACTCTGTACATCAGCTACCCTCAGAACCCAACTCATCATTTGAATGGTACAGATTTATGGGTTCTCGTCTACAACTCATTTATATTTGTTGTGGGCAGCAGAGGTTGACGCTGAGGATTTCTACATCAGCAGCCACACAAAGTAATCTAGAATTTTTCGATTGTTCTTTCACACAAGGTCTTTTTCACACTGCACAAGTTCCTTCAGGAAGCTACCCAAACACAGCTGCTAGTGTCACATGTGATTTTATTGACAAACATTTGTGCACCTTGATGCTCATAATAAGGATGCAGTACACACACCATCTTCACGGTATCGTCGCCATAGATTACAAACAGGATGGCAACCAGAATAGCCAAATAGCAGCGCATCCAGTATTAGCTGCTAAGCCGGACTGGCCTCCCTGGTTGAAGCAAACATGATGCTACTATAACTATCAGCGAGTTCACACAACAGCGGCTAGCGCAGACAAGGAAGCCGGTGCCGAACCATCATGTGGGCCCTGCACATCCTCCAAAGAATAGTTTGATCGTTTTGTCAGAAGACTAGATATTATACAATTAAGCACCACAACAGGAGATAGACTAGAGCATCATCCCAATGGCAACAAACTCGTAAGTCAGCTCACAACAACAGTACTAACTCAGAATGTTCCACACAGTAGCAGTGAATCAAAAACTAAACATATTTTGGATTGGTCAAAGGTTAAATGGTTAGACCGAGGCTTGGCTTGAGTTCACACACTTTCTTCATATTTATGTTGTTGGTCTTCACTAGACTCCTGCAACTCTCGCTTTGCCTACTATTTCATCAGGTCTTGAAGAAAAGGCCTGGTGACTGAGTTTGCTCATTGGTAACTCCATATGTTGGTACTTATTAACCTAGTATAGCTACTCGGTTAAATACAGTCTACCCTCCACAATATGTGAGAGCTGCAGCAACCATCATCTTCCTTTTTTCTTTTCTACAGTTATGGCAAATTAACCACATATGTAACCTGTGTTCCATGTTTGACTAAGTCTTAATAACGGATGCTTAGAATTGTCCCAACCAGTGGTGGCATTGATGTGTTATTCACATAACTTGTTAAATGCAGGATGCATGAAAAAAATATGGGTTGGCATCATGTGCCAAAAGATGTGGAACAAAGAATAGATTTCACAGTCTATTGTCTGGCATATTTTGCTTTTGTCTTGTCGGCTGCATACGACAGTAACAGATAAATTAAATGAAACATTGAAGTGAACCCTTTATAATTAAAGTATAAACACTTTCTCAAAAAGCGCCTGTTCTATTGGGGCAGTTGCAGCATCACTGTCATATCTTTCTGTTTCGAATCTGTGGTGAATTGATACATGACAAGGCAGATGTAGTCAAAGCCCTTTGGGAACAAGCAACAGAATCAGTAAACAAGGTTATTATGGCCGGGAGAGAATGAGGCACCTGGGTGTAACCAGAGGGTCTGGCCAGCTCACTACACTCAGAGGACAGGCAAGACGGACATGTAACCAGGTTGTGACCGGTACCATCAGTATTGGAACTCTGCGCTGGCTGCTGAAGATAAGAACGGAGCACACATGAGAGTGCCCCGAGTGCTATGATGTCAATTCTTGGCTCAACTGAACTCTATTTATACAGTACTGGACGGAGGCAACAAATACTGGTGGCTTCAAGAAATCCAAGCACTCTGCGCCATTGGATGATGTACGAATAATTTGAAGTATCCTTGTTTAGTGTGTCTGGAGTTCAAAAAGCGGCACACAATTAACTATGGGTGGGCTTTCTGACGTTTCATCTGGGAATTCATTTGTTGCACTCCAAATCTGAAACGTGTTTGGCAGTAATAATGTATTGTAAAGGATGTACTTTTTATCGATATGCAGCATTTTGTTAACATTGTTCAACAATTTTTGCTTGATTCTGCAGGGATTGGCCATCACCAGTCTTACTGAAACCCCTTGAAACAGACAACAAGCTTGGTTATCCCGTGTGGGACTCTCGGGTGAGTTTCTCAAGGTTTGATTAATCATCTTTGAACACTTTCATCACGGGCAGAGTTCTCTAATCTTTATCCTTCTTTCCAGTCTTTTCTGTTAATTGAACTTTTTCTACAATCTATAGAAGTGTCTCTCAACCTTCCTGATGCTGCGACCCTTTAATACAGTTCCTCATCTTGTGGCCACCCATAACGATACAATTATTTTCATTACTACTTCATAACTTCAATGAAAATGTGTTTTTTGATGGTCTTAGGTGACCCCTGTGAAATGGTCGTTTGGCCTATTAAAAAAAAAAAATCGCGACCCGCAGGTTGAGCACCATTGCTCTAAGTCTTTCATGTAACTTCTATCCTTTATTCCTTCTGTCGTGCCTTTCCTTGTTAGCTCATTGGGACCCAGATATTCCATTGCTTTAAGTAAAGTGCATTGGACTAAAAAAAAAATTTTCTTTTAAATATAAAAGTGGGGCATATATGGGGGTAATCAGTAGCATGTGGTGAATTACCTGGTCTATGAATAATGTATCTGTCAGGTGACAGTGATGTAAATAGAACACAGCTGTTTTAACTAGCTATAAGTTGAGTGTTATTTATAAAAATCTTCTGCTTATATTCCGTAACAGTGTGTCTTTGGAAGTCAAGTCTGTCCTTCTGGCTCGTATACTTTCAGTGAATTCTGACACACATGCTCTTTCTCTTCTCAGTTGGTCTTCCTTTGCCTCTTCCCCTCCAGCTTTCCAATTGTCACAGTGCATGTAGATTGTCTCCTTCTGGTGTGGGCAGTCAGTTTCTTTAAAAACATCTTCTTACTCTTTTATCTGTCAAGGGTGTTCTCATCATTTGTCTTTAAAACCATATATATGAATAAAGAAACATGATTGTGAATTTTAAATTGTTTTATGTAAATTTTACATTGTTGTGGGGGGATTTGTGTAAATTTGACATTGTTTTGTGTAAATTGCAGGTTAACCCGTCTGACCGTTTCCATCTGATGCCCATCATCACTCCAGCCTACCCCCAGCAGAACTCCACATACAATGTCACACAGTCCACACGGACCATCATCATGGAGGAGTTCCTGGAAGGTGGGTTACACCAGAGCTTCTCTGTTAGTTAGGTTTGGCATAAGCCAGTATGTCTAGCTTCTTCTTTTTCTCCTCCCTGCCCCTGGTTTTTGGATGAAGACTGTCTGTCTTTTTTTTTTTCTGGGGGCCCCATTTTGGGGGCAAAAAGAATGGACCCACTGCCTCCCGAAAAAAGCATGTTGTGAGTGACGACTAATTGAGGATTTCATTCCTTAGCATCTGCATGAGAGGCCGGGACCCGAAAGTTTGCATACAAGTTGGCCAGATCTGTAAAATGAATATGTACACAGTTCTGGAAAAAGATTAAAGTCCAGAAGTGGACGAACAACCGGAACTTTCCTCCTGAGATTACAGCCAGTGAAGACTAAGACCACTGGCCTCTGTATGAAAGCTGTGGTGTGACACATATTCATGCAGTGATCCATATAGTCTGGCATTCTATTGGAATGCATACAATCAGCTTTTAGATCCACCTACTTTCTTGTACAAGTGGCTAGAGAGTCCTTTGTATCCAGTTCGCAGTCCTAGTTCACTGATCTGTTTCTTTCATGTGAGGAGGTTAATTAAGTTTTTTGGAATTGTGTTGTGGATAGCCTGCATATGAAAAGTTAGGAGATCTCCACTTTAACAAGGAACACATCCCCTTCCATTGTTGGGTTAAAACAAGAATGGACCCGCTGCCTCCCCAACAAGCATGTCTTAACAGTTGGCTAATTGGGGGCTTCATCGAAGTTGAAGTCCCTGTGCCCAAGCGGCAAGGAACAGCCAGCTACACACAGATAAGCTGAATGTACACGCAAAGCCCAGGCCCTAGCACAAAGTCAATGTCCAAATTGACAAACGATCAGCACCATTTGCCGGAGCTTACAGCCAGTGAACAAAGGAAAAGAAGACATGAAACATCCATGAAGAGATGGACGAACAGCAGTCTGAGAGAGTGTAGAGCCAAAACCAGAGATGGACGAACAGCAGTCTGAGATAGTGTAGAGCCAAAACGAGATATGGACGAACAGCAGTCTGAGAGAGTGTAGAGCCAAAACCAGAGATGGACGAACAGCAGTCTGAGATAATGTAGAGCCAAAATGAGAGATGGACGAACAGCAGTCTGAGAGAGAGTAGAACCAAAACCAGAGATGGGTCCTCTTTGAGAACCATTCACAGCAACTTTTTTTTTCAAAAATGTCAACAACACCTGATTAATTTCTGAGTCATACTATCTGCTGGCTACCGTGTCCTTCTGCCTTAAATATCAACTTTTATAGTGTGTGTGACCAGATGTACAAATGATTGCATTATTTTTATGTTTGTTTGTTTAATTTTTATCCTGTTTGTCTTTGTCATCCATTTTTAACCTAACTATTGAACATGCCAGACAAGTTGAAATGTTGTACTAATTTTTCCTGCAGGTCTGAATGTTGTGACACACATTTATGAAGGAAGAGAAGAGTGGAGTCGATTGTTTGAGCGGTCAGATTTTTTCCACAAATACAAGTAAGTGATGGTGTCTTCCTTATGTGGTCTTTATAAGCAAATTAAGGAGCCACAGTAGCCTAATGTAGACCTGTAGGTTTCGAGTTTAAAAACAGTCTTTTACGTTGTTTTAAAAAATGGTCAGTAAATTCTGTTTTTGTTGTTGTTTAAACCAGTTGTTTTCATCATTGTAACAGAAAATCTGCCAGCAAATGTCTGTTTTTTTGTTTTTTATTAAACCATTTGTTTTCATCATTGTAGCACAATGTCTGCCAATAAATTCTGTTTTTTTTTTAAACCAATTGCATATCTGCCTGCTAAAGTAGAAGTTTAAGGTTTTGTATTCCATAGACTGTTTTTCTGGATCAAAAAACCAGGCGGCTGTTATTGGTAATTATCTTCATATGCTTCAACTCTGATCCTGTCAGACTGTTTAAGCAAAGCATCCTTTTCCCCCATCACCTGTGTTGCTCTGATTTTATTCATATATCCTCAGTGACTTAATTGAAGCCTGCAAGATTCACTTTTTTTTTTAAAAATCTGTTTATTCTCATTCTCCTTGCCACTGAAGTCCTCTAGATTCACTCCCTTTAGGTCTGATTTTTCGCTCTATTCTCAGCGGTGCCGCTGAATTGTTTCCTGTTCTTCTTAGCATTCACCTGCGATAAAGTCATGTGAAAATTTCTGGTTGTTCATCCACTTCTGGACTTTGGTCTTGTTCCAGAACTTGAATTTTGCATGCATATCTATATGTATATGTTATATTGTTCATTCACTGTTTAATCAAGTTGATGATTTTTGCGATGATTTTCTTTTGTAGGCATTATATAGTTTTGAAAGCAATCGCAGAAGAGGAGGACCACTATCTTGAATGGTGAGTAGTTTGAGGGATATAACTGTGTTGTAACCAGACATTCACTGAGGGTTTCTTTATGTAATGATCATATGCTTGCATGCCAGGTTTTATAGCATCACTAATGCCAAACTTAGGGAGAGGACTAAAATTTGAGTGAAATCAAGAAGCAGTGAAAAGACACAAGAACTGGATGGGACTTCTTCTTCTTCTTTTTTTTTTTTTTTTGTCGTCTCACTGATACCAGGTTTATAGCCCAGTGTCGTGGTTTGTCTGTGTCTATCCAATAATAGTTCACTGTTTCTTGTGTAGTAGCAAACAAATATACCACTGCTGGCTTGCTAGGCCTGTCACATGGTGGGGCAGGAAAAAAATCTGAACTGGTTGGTGCCGGTCTCCTTCCAGGCGAGCCATTGCCCTATTAGCCTAAAACCTTGCAGCTTTTGTTTTCCAGCCTGCACCACGAGAAGGTGGGGCTGACATGGGTGCTCTACAGGTCGTTGGCAGGCTAATTGAATTTCACATTTCACCTCTTGAAAGAGAAGCTAGCCAACCTTAACACTGCTATGGGACACATTGAGAAAAACACCTGCTAATAATATGACAAAAATGCTTTCACTGAAATGCAGAGGGCATAGGCCATGTAAGGAAACAACAGCAAATGATAAAGAGAACTAAAGCCAGTGATGAACAGCAGGGGAAGAACAAAAATGGAACTGGGAAATCCGGATAAGAGGACTTGTAAGTTTTGCGAGGGCGTACTCATAGTCGATTTACTTATAGTACCAGTTACACCATCATTTCACTTCTGCCATTACCCGTTGGGATCCATTGCTTGATTGACAGCATTGCTATTGTCATTCCATGTGGATGTAGGAGCTCTGTAATGTCATCAGTCCATGTTTTCCTAGGGTAGCCTCTTGATTTCACCTCGGATCTTTTCATGTGTAATGCCTGCGTTGGTAGTTGTTGATACCAGTTATGTCCTGATTAAAATTTTGCATATGTTTATCCCACTCAGTGTTGAATATGTTCCAGAGCCTCTATTTCTACTAACCCCATCCCGCTGAATTAGTCTTTCAAGGTATCTATTCTCTGCCAATGCACTGTCCATTTGATTCGAGAGACCCTTTACCATGTCCACTTTATCATAAAGTGGCTGATCGCCTATAGTAGTGGCAGCAGCTAATCTGTCAGCCTGCTTGTTACCTTACGCACCTGTGTTATGGATTCAAATAAAACTGTTAAAAAGCGTTATCGCTGGAACAGCGGAATGCGTGCAGTGAGCTTGATACCTTCTTCATTGTCCAGCGAAGACAAAGTAAGCTGTTTAGTGGACATGGCTAAGGGAGCCACTTTATTAGAGGTGCCTAGTTGGTCCTGCATCTTAGTACACTCTTTCCTGCAGCATAGCTCTGTCGTCATCTGGATGTGATAGGTTCGATTCTCACCTTAGCTTTCAATTTTCATGTTGCCTAGAGTATTTTTTTTCCTATCTTTTCTACTTCTTTCTGTGAGTGCCAATCAATACATGTCTATTTGTTTATTATGTATGCTTTAAATTATGACCTTACAGTTTGTCCTCATTGTTTTTAAATTATTTTTTATTGTATCTCACTTCTTTAATTATGTGTCATGTGTTTTGAGGTATATCATTTGTTCTGTGATTGGTATATGTAGAATTCTGGTTTACAATTATAATTGCTTTGCTTTAAAATAGATATTTTATCACTGTGTATGTTACAGAAATAATGCTACGCCTTTTCTTTCTTTCTTTCTGCCAAAAAGGAAAGGGTATGTGGAGTCCAAAATCCGTCTGCTGGTAGGAAACTTGGAAAGAAACCCAATCATCAAATTAGCACATATAATGCCTTCATCTTACGGGCCCGTTTGTGAAAGGTAACGTGTTATTATTTACAAATAAATGTAAAACAAATAACAAAACCAGTAGACATTTCTCCAAATGATGATTGTTAATATTTAACCCCAGAAGCTTTGTGATTCCTACATTAAATATTTGTGGTAACAGAAAAGTCAGTCAACTTGACCTGGACAAATGTGCAGTCATTTGAAGCAGGAAAGTCCTCTTTTTTGCGCTCACCAGCTGTAAACTCTGGTGGGAAAATTCTGGTTGTTCATCCACTTACGAACTTTAGTCTTGTTCCAGGCAGAACTTGAATTATGTGTGCACATCAGTTTTACAGATCAAACCTATTTGTTTGCGCATTGTTTACTGGTGTCGTCTTTTTTTTTTTTTTTTTTGGTTGGTTCCTTGTCTCTCAGGCAGATGCACCCCGACCTCGAAGGAAACATCCCTAATTAGTTGACTTTTTAAAAAGGAATATGACATACTTGTATATGTGCATTTACACGTGTGCATATGCAAACATGTATATGTGTATTCCTGTGTGGCGTGCATACGTGTATGTTATGTGTGTGGGTGTGTATAGTGCATACCAGCCCCTTCCCCAACAACCATCACTAGGTACCAGAGTACCAGTCCAAACCACTAGTTTTGGTGAGTAAGTAAAGTAAAGATCCCTTTTCACGCCTTTAGGCATACCGGGTATATGGGAAGAGCGCCCATATTTTTGCAGACCGTCGGCATTAGGTGGGTAATGTGGTCAGCATTACGCCGGCCATCTTTGCTTCTCCAGGACAGCCATCCTGGCACCCATTTTAGGCTGGGTTGACCTGCTACGCCCCATAGCATGATAAAAATCCACGCAGCCAGCAGTGGATTTTGATCGGGGCACGTTGGAATTTTGAGTCTGACCCGCAACGCCTAATCCACGGGCGCCGCACTAGTTTCGGTGCAATTAACATTTCTTAGCCAACATTACTAGCACAGAGACACGAGGCCACAATTACTGCTCACAGCAGGTTGAACATGATCAATTTTTTTTCATAGATGGATGGATGGGCAGCACCTCTGTGATGATTATCTGTCCGCTTCAGTAATGTCAGCTCTTTCTTCTGCTTAGTGTAGCATTTTCTTTTTCTTATAAGCTCACTTGCAGGTCGTAAGGTTGCGAGTTCAATCCCTGACGGAGCCGGGCTTTTTCTTTCAAAAATGACCTTAGCCCCCGGGTCGATCAAGCTTAAATGGGGACCAGGTACCGTCCTAGTAGTAAATACAGCCAGCGAGATGCTGACATCACCGACTGAATACCGACTGGTCTGTAGAATATAGGTCTAGCCCTGTATGCCCAAGATGCCTGAAGGAGTGGAAAAGGGTCCTTTACTTACTTTGACATTGCTTCTGTCTCTGAACATATGTAAAAACTGGTGCATATATTTATTGCCACAAGACAATTACTCAGGAAACAATGTTCATTTTGTTGCAGTGAAGGGCAGTACATGTGCAAGTGGTTCATAGGGCTGGTTTTTAGTTTAGTCGGAGCAGAACCAGGATCTAAGGTTGACCTCACGTATGATATTCAGTCATTCTCAGATGTTGGTAAGTAAATGTGTTTCTCTTGTTCATTGTTTTGTTGGTAAGTAGATTCTGTGTTTTTGTAGGTGTTTTCTGGGAATGAGAAGTTTGTTGAAGAGAATAAACGAGACAATTGAAGTATTTCAGCGACATTTAAAAACCTTCCTGCAAAAGGCATACTCCTTACTGAAGTTGAAGGTGAGTGAGCAAGAGGTGGATAATGATACTCGTGGAAAGGAAGGACTAACAGAAGTCTTGAGAGTGTGTGAACTGGACTAAGGGGCAGAAAATGTTGGAGATCCATTGACTTCAGCCTTTAGTGTGGAGACAGCGCTGGATTAATTAGTGTCTTCTTGTTTGATTGAATCCTTAATCACTTGAGATATCTGTTTTTCCATTAATAGGTAATTCTTTGGTTGCAATATTTTGTTTCTGTAGAAAGTAGCACATTTTGTTTCATCCTTTTCCCTATGTGAGCTCCGAGGCCCCATCTGGGGGGGGGGGGGGGGTGGGTGGGGATAGGCCCACTGCCTCCCTAACAAGCATGTCATTAAAAAGCAACAGATTTTCCCTCTGAAGGAGCATATTTTTCTGAGTGGCAAGAAACTTAACAGTCTGCACAACTCAAGTTCTGGGACAAGAGTGAAGTGCAAAAGTGGACAGACAACCAGAACTTTCTGCTTGGGTTTGCAGCCGGTGAACACGTGAGTTCTGGGGCCCCGTTATGGGAAGAATATGAACAGACCACTAATCCCCAACAAGCATCTTGTAAAAGTCGACTAATTTAGGGGCTTTATTCGAAGCTAGAGTGCATCTGCCTGAGCGGCAAGGAACCAACAGTCTGAATACAAATAGGTCAGATCTGTAAAACACTCAGTTTCTGGAACAAGACTATAGACTCCAGATGTGGACGAACAACCAGAACTTTCCGTCAGAGTTTACACCCAGTGAATGTGAAGAAGATTAAAAAGAAATATGTCTGTGTAGTGGCAAATCTGAAAGGTTTCCCTCTTCCCTCTTCCCTCTTCCCTCTTCCCAGTGGAACAAGGGACAACTGGAAAACAAAGACAAACTTTTGTCAGAGTATGGAGAAAGTGCCCACATGTAGATATTAATACTTGCTGTCAGGACCACAGGATGGGGAGAAATGTGATTCCTCCATGCCAGTCAGCAAGTATTGTGCTGATGTAAGTCATGAGGACCGTCTTCTTTGCTCCAGGTTTTATCCTATAGGGCTTAGTCTCTCTCAGCAGAGTGGCTAGCTGCCTTGCCAAGATCACTGAAGTGACGATCCCAGAATCTCTGTAAAAATGGCATCTGTGAACCGAACGACACAACCGTGTAGCAAAGTCACGACCTTCCAGTTGCAAGGCAAACGCTTGACCACTTGACCACAGATCCTTTTTATATATTGTAATGTAATTTCTGGCAGCTGTTTTTGTCCTGATCAGTCTCTCACTGGTTTAAGAAATATATAAACTAGCCTCAGACATAAGGTCCAGTAATCACACATTGAAGCCCATTTTTTATACTTAATGGCTGATTTCATCAGTATCATCCCAGCCACCTTTGCTTCCCATATTTCCTGGTTCCCATTTAAGGCTGGGTTGAGATTGAAGCTCAGGTAAATTTTGAAAACCTGTCTTTGTGAAGATTCAAACTTCTTGACCAGTAGATCTACAGGTAGTCATGCTAGCCACTGGCTAGTGTGGCTTCCTGCCTTATATATTAACTTGTACAGTGTCTGTGTCTGAAATAATGTTGTGCTTTGTACACTTCTCTTCTTCTTCTGCTCTTTATCCTCCATGGAGCATAGGCCCCTCAACCAACTCACAAGTCATCCTATCCATTGCTATCACATGCAGCTTACTCCATGTTCCTCACCCTCTTTTTAAACTCGCTCTCTAGTTTCGATGTACACACTAGCAGTCATTATTATTTTTTTTTTTTTAAACAAATGTTCGTGACCATTCTTATTTTGCAGTACATAAACAAGCCATGCATATAAACTTGTACAAAGAAGGTATGAAAGTGGAGATTCAGTATGTCAGGAAGTGAGTACCATTCTCATAGTTTTATATTGTTGTTGTTACAGTGCTAAGGACTGCACTTTTAAGAGCTATATTGAATCCATCTTGATGTAACATTCAAGTGTTTAAATCAAGGGGAGCATCTTTATTGCAGCAGATCATTAACCCATAAGGCTCAATCTCTCTCTCTCTCTGTGGAATGGCTTGCCTCCTGTGACAGAATCACAAGAAATATGAACTCCATAGCTCCTTTAATGATCCCCGGGGAACCTCATACAATTTACTGGTAGGGGCCAGTACAGAATCAAAGACAATAAGAGGATCAGTAAACAATATTTAGAAGCTGTAGTTTTTTTTTTTTTTTTTTTTCAAATATTTTATATTTTTTATTTTGTTAATTAGTACACCATGGCCGAGCGGCTAGATGCTCGTCGCGGATCAGAAGGTCGTGGGTTCGCTCCTTGGCGGAGCCGGACTTTTTTCAAAAATGACTTTGGCTCCAAGGTCGACCCAGCCTTGAGTGGGTACCAGGTGCAGTCCCGGGAAGGTAAAGGCAGCTGGCGTGATGCTGACCACATCACCCATCTTGTGCCGTTCGGTCTATAAAAATATAGGTCTAGCCCTATATGCCCTATACGCCTAAAGGCGGGGAAAAGGGACCTTTACTTTTCTTTTTTTTACACCATGGGCAGGTTTTTTTAAAAAAACGCAAGATAAAAATGTCTTGCAAGAAATTGATTCATGGATAGTATACATTCATCATCACTATCTTGTTGTGCCATTGTGTGTCACATGGGGCTCACAGTCTGTTCCTCCATCCCACTCCAGATAGTGCCCCGAAACCCACATGGGGACTTTAAGCAGTTTAAATTTGTCATAAGATAAAACTACATATCTTATAATACAGAAAAGTGCATCTGCATTCTTTATGCCACACTGAACAGTGCAGGTAAAGTATCAGAGTAGAGATTCTCCTGTGTTGCTTTGTGTTCTTCCAGTTTAACTACTACTTATGTATACTTTTTGTTACTGTACATGTTTTATATATTTATAATGTCATAATTTTTATGTTTTCTTCCCTTTCTCACATTGCAGAAAGTTTTTGTCACACTTTGTTTCGCCCCAAATCTTAAATCAGGGTCGAACAAGAAAGAGGGTAAGTGTGAACAGTTAGTTATTCATTGTTTTGTCATTTTTCTGAAATAGATTGAGTATACTTGAATAGCTGAACTGGCCATAATCATCTATTGATGTTCAGTTTTATTTAAAGTGATCAAATATAGTCCTTTCTTTTGTCATTATCTGCTTTCTCTGGGTAGACGTAATAGGAAGCCACACCAGGGTATGCTTGATATGCTGTGATGTTTTGAAATCCCAGGCTGTCAATGACTCCTTGTATCCATTTCTTGTAGGTTTTGCCTCGGTTTCAATTTTCATGTTGCATGCTTTCATTTCCAGCAAATGGGTTTCTTATCACATGGTGGCCGAGCCATTTCAGTCTTTATCTCAATAAATTTATTAATGGATAGTGTTTCCACAGTTCTTCTAATTTCATTTCTCACACAGGCGCTTCAGTTTTGATCACAGTCATTCTTGAGCATCTTATTTCACCAGATGCATTTCAAATAGATAAATTATATTTGAAATTGCCATATATGTCATTAGTCCCACTAACTACTATAATAACAAATGTGGACGACATAACTTCAGCAGGTTAAACCACCAAAATTAAGATTGTATTGTTCCTGTTTTATCATTGTCATGTTTTTTGTTTTAATTGATAAGCATTCACTTTGATTTCAGGGTTAAATTAGCATAATATCTCTATTACTATTATCTTAAAAATTTTAAATTTGTGTGCGATTTAATGCTAATGCACTGACTCATTAGCACGCTGCTACTAAGTTCAGTCCTCAGTAGTGATTATTTTTTTCATTTTTAGCTCCTGTCGCTCCTAACATATGGGGAGAAGGGGAGGGGTGTAAACCAGAAAATTCCCAAAATAGATCCTTAAAAAATGTTTTCAAGAAATATATTAAGGGAAGAAATCTTAAAGAAATATATTAAGGGAAGAAATCAATAATTACGAAAGGAGTGGAGAATAAAATGAATGCATTCTCTTGGGCCATATTGCTAAAGATAATTTGTAACATCGTTGTAAAGAATTGTTTTTTCCCCATGCCCTTGCTTGCCATTTTCAATAGAATGCTGTGTTAAGTAAATACAATCATGCCTGGTGCCCCCAAACACTGCCCATTAGCACGGGACCAGTGCCATTGAGGCTTGTCAGCGACTGGCCAATGCAGTAGGGCCAGAGGAACATTTTGGACAGTTATGCAGTATTAGTTCAACTGAATATATGAATAGTTTTAGGTCAGGTATCCGTCCGTACACTTCCTTGCCCAAGTAGGTGTCTTTCACTGGGTGCTTTTCATATATGTGCTTTTCGTGTGGTTTACCACACACCTGACATGCAACTGCTACGAATGGCAAAAGCTTAAACAATTAAAATCAACAATCCCTCCTTTGTAAGCAGACGGATTTTATAGTAAATTAGAAGTTGCCCTTGTAAGTTATGTGACTACAGTGAACTTACTGTGACTAGACGAATAAGGTCCATCCGAAGAAACTATTCGCATTTCAGTTGAATTTATTCAGCTTTTGTGTGATTCATTTTATGTTGATGATGCAACTCTGTAACAATGTACCTGACGAGATACAGCAAAATATGCCTAGCAATAAATTGTGCAATGTATTGTTTGTGTCCACATTTACTTTACTTACTTAGTCGCTCCTCTTACTCCTTGGGGTGTAGAGGTTTGCCACAGAGATCACCAGACATCTCTATCTGCAGTTTTCGTTTTGGATTTGTTTCATTTCAGTCCTCTGTCGGATGTTGTCTTCCCAGAAGACCCTGGGTTAGCCTGGAGGTCTGGTTCCCTGGTTCTTAGCCTCCTATGCCTGCCATGGCGGCCGATTTTCTCAAATTCTGCATACATGTCCAAACATTGTAACTGACTGATCCACTCGGGTTTGTAAGGACTGGATATAAAGATCTTGACGCATTGTCTGATTGTGGATTCTGTCACTTAGACCACCACTAAGATATCTCATTTCTGAATTCTGAAGCTGGCTTCTGTGAGCTGTTGTCATATATTTTGTGTGTACAAATTATTTGTTCGTAGTGTTAAATGTTATTTCTCATTGAGTTTAATAATAATGTCTCCAAACTAGGATAGTGGGAGGCTCTCATCTGGCAGCACAAGAAGAACCAGCACAGACAACGGGCTCACTGGCTCCGCCTCTTCCACAACAGCAGCTGCCAGTAAAGCATCCAATCCGGATGCAGAACTGATCAAGACAGTGATTGCAGTTGAAGAAAGTGAGGCCGCACAACAATCAGGGAATGACAAGCCTTCTGCCAACACAGCAAATGGACCTTCGGGACCAGACTCTGAGAGCATGCAGTGGAATGCATCTGAGTCATCCAGCGGCTCAGCGGCTGTCAGTATAGCCAGCAGGGAGGATGATTTGGAGGACAAGTCCGAACATGTAGTGGTAAATTTAATTTGTAACTCTCATTATGTGGTATTGTTTTCAACTAAACAAAATCCATTCACTCTTTCAATCACAAGCAAAGTACCTGGTGTAACTGGATTAAAATCCATATGTCCCTTTCAGAGTGTTATGTCCTCTTCTTCGCATTCACCGGCTATAAACTCAGCGGAAAGTTCTGGTTCTTTATCAACTCTGGACTTATTCTTGTTGCAGAACCTGAGTGTTGCGTGCACATCCACTTTACAGATCTGACTTAAGTGTTATCTATATTTTAACATCTTTTATTAAGTGAGACAACATACCGGTTTCCTACAAGCGGTGTGTATTTGAACCGTGTGGAAGCGGTTCATCCATGAGTTTGATTTTGTTATTGTTACCTCCCCAGGGCATAGGCTATAAGCGTCTTGCACTGAAAGGGTTAACAAGTTGATGTTTTTGATATCTTATGTTTTATCAGAGAAAAACACTAAAAGCTACATATTAGATAAGAATAGAAATGTGACAGAAATAAATTATGTCACCTCTGTTTTTTGTGCTTGTAAAAGACTGATTTGTGAATACAACATCTAATCTTGATGGAGCAGCTCAGTGATCTCCTTGGCCCTTGTGAAATTTTTTGGAATCAGATTCCATTTAATTTATACATATTTTATAGGAAATTACTGCTTCATCATTCTCTTCTTCTCCGTTGCCACCTGAAGATGGTATCAAGTACAGAGCACGCACTCCCTAGCTTCAGGGATGATTCTTTTGATTATTAAATACAAAATCCATAGATAATATTATTTCAGTGCAGGAAGTAAACGATCACCCTAGTATTGCCTGCCTGCTAGGGAAGAGGCAGGGAAGTCTATATGCCTGGGTCCTCCCAACCCGCTAATCAAACATTTCACATTCAGGAATGTATATCCCACAGCCATTCAGCCAGTAGGCACGTAGGTCTACCGTAGGCTTCGGGTTTTTAATCGAGGTTGTCTCCTCTAGATTTGTTGTGTTTTGTGCCTCTCCGGTCACGCACAACGGTCTTGACTGTAGAAGGGTGTTCCTGATCAAGAGACTTATGCCCTTAGTATGCCCCTTTCACCCTACAGGTACAAGTACTCATAGGGCTAAACCAAGTTCTCAATGCAGAACAATTGGTGTGTTCAACTGCGTGAAAGATCGGACATCTACAGTCCTGGATCTCTATGATCGTTGTGTTTACCGGTGCATGCAAAGAATCATGGATGGCCATATTCACATATACGCTCGTAGTTCATCCATGTTACTTACTAAGGGCATTAAGAATCATGACTTTTGCGCGTATCAAATGCATCAAATAATTAATTACACAATATCTGACAAACACTCAAATTATGGTATACTTACAGAAATATAAAAATGTACGCTGATACTAACCGTACGTTCTGACACTACACTGTTGCCCAAACACACATATATTTGTGTGCCCACATGTGCACATATACATTCATGCATACATAATTTCTACATACATATGGATGATTATAATTTCACTTGTATGTGAGTAATTCTGGGATATACACAAGCTACCTTGGTAGTATGTATGTGATATATTCTTGTACTGCCTACTGTTGCTCAAAGTTCTGCAAGCACAGTCATAGAGTAGCTGCAGACAAGAAGCACCTCCTGCGTGAAGCCCTGGGTAGAGCTAAGGGTCACAGAATGAAAAGAGGAATGTCTTGGATGGCGCAAGCTAAGGACACAATCGGACATGTGTGCAGGCTTGGTAAATTTGGGCGAGAAGAGGATTGGGTCAAAGTGTTTGAGCAAGTTTCAGACTTGTGTAGGGTTCTTATCACTTTTGGTCGTGAGTGCTGGAATTGGCCAACTGGTGCTGCAGAATCAGAAGTTAAAAAAAAATTTGATTAACGACAATTCCCGCGCAGGTGATGTGATTATCTATAAAGATGGCTCTGTGTTGAGGGGTAGACGAAGTGCAAGGGGGTTCAAAGCAAACGTGGAAGTGAAAGGAATTTATACCAGTACTAAACTTAAAATTGTTAACTCTGACATTGTGTATCACAGAATTTTGGAGAATGATTACAACAATTCAAACATTCATCAGTAACTTCTGCCTGCACAGAATTCACAAAGATAAAATGATATTGAGTCAAGGAAGAGTTTTTAGTGCTGCAGAGGGGGGCAGCCAATGAGTAGGGGCTAGATGTTCACCTTCGGATCCGAAGGTCGTGGGCTCTAATTGACAAATTTGCATGCATGGCTAAAGGTCGACTCAGTCTAAAATAGGTGCTAGGTAATGTCCTGGGAATTAAAGGCAGCAAGTGTGATGTCGACTTCATCACTAATCAAGGGCCGAATGGTCTACGCAAATATGAGTCTGGTCTCATATGCCCGATGTGCCACTGGCGTTTGAAGGGACCTTTACTTTTCTGGATAGGGCACACAATGATAAAACTTATTAATAGTATAAGTAGCTTATGTTTGAACTGGAAACACTTGGGAAAAGAAATAAAAGGAGATCAACAAATGTAGGTTATGTCATTAAATTTCAGACTTGCAGTGTTTGCACAAGTTGCTAAGGCTTCTACAGTATTTGAGTTTGTTTTCCTCTTTCAGAGCAGTCCTTCGTCACAAGACAGTGGGCAGGACGCTGCCTCCAAAAGACCTGGTTCTCCTTTTCAGAATGATACCCCACCCAAAAAGCCAAAAGATTTGGACCTGCAGGTGAGCTATGAAGTGTATTGGTTCTTATTATATAAGTTATTGATGGGGATTTAAACGGATGAATATATAGTCCTTTTAAATCTGTAGAAATTAAGACTGAGATGTTTTGTGGCAAAATGAAGTTTTACGAAGTTAGGGGTTGCTGGCCACATTTCAGCCTGGAGCACCAGTGTCTCTCTCTGTGTGTCTGCTCTCTACCCTGTGACCTCTCCAGCGTAGGAGGTCGTTCTGTAAGCAACCTCTATCACGGCTAGGTAGAGACATCTTCAGACAGAAAATTTGATGAATCTTTTTCGCCCGTCATTTTTGTTTACATTGTCCCAGTTGCATTGTTCTCTGTCTTTAGCTTGGCAGCATTCTCGTTTTTTCAAGTATTGATTTGCAGTTGTACTGCCAAAAATCTTATTGACTGTTTACCACTTCTGCAATGTATGGGAAGATGGGGAGGCTTTTAGCCCAAAGATTTAGGGCTGTATGGCTAGTGCTGTCACCACAGACTGTGCTGGTTGGGATTTTATTGTTGCCTCAGACAGAAAAACCTAAAACATTACCAGGGATTTGATCCTGAGTCTCTGGCAGGAAAGACCAATATTCTTAACCATTTGACCTTCCTTTGTGGGTTCCAAGGTTCCGTTTTGGGGAAACCAAGAATAGACCCACTGCTAGCATAAAAAGCGATTCATAGGAGTCAAGTAATTGGGCACTTCCTTTGATGCCAGAGTGCATCTGCCTGAGAGGCAAAGAAACAAGTCTACATACAAATGATCTATGAAATGGCTGTGCACACAGCCCTCAAGTTATGGGCAAGACTGGAGTTCAAAGGTGGACGAACGCCCACATCTTTACACCAGAGTTTACAGGAGGGGTATGTGAAGAAGAAAAAACATTTGGCCAATCACTGCTCATGCTTGTACTGTTTGCCATACACTTTGCTGGGTTGTGTTTCAAGCTTTGTATTCAACTCTGCATGTCTGACATCATAACTGCAATGCTCGCTTGTCCCAACTCACATTAAATGCAATGCCACTGTTTACCACCTAGGTTCCTGGTTCACCCATGCAGGTGGATGAGAAGTCAACATCGACATCGTCTTCATTAACATCTGTGTCTACATCATCACAGCCCACAGTTTCCTCACAAAACCAACAACAGCAGCAGCAGCAGCAACAACAGCCATCACTTTCTGATGCAGCAAAATCTGCCAGCAAGGTGAGTCTTGACTCGTGCCACAAATATGCTAGAATCAATTGTTTTTCAGTTCAGATGAGGTAACCCCTTGGTGCATCTGTCTGTTTGTCTGTCTGTATATCTTGAATGTCTTTCTGTGCTTAATGCTGCTAGGTGTCCCAGGCACAGCTAATGGTCAGTTTCCGGGATAATGCACGCTCGTTAGCCTGCTGCGTGGTGATTATGTTGAGTTTCAGCAGTTTGTTAACTCGTATCCATCCATATTCTTCTTGGCCTTCCCCTGCCTCTTGATGTGCATGCCATTGTAGAAATGCAAGGGCCCCCCCCCCCACCCCCCATAATTGCAACTCTGTGTAAGCAAGCGATGACAACATAAACAAGTAATGCAACACATGCCAAGCCATTTCAGGGGGTGCTTGGGAAAATAGCTATGTGCCCTTATCACCTTAACTGTCTTCTGTGATCTCATGGAATAATGCTGTCTTCAGTTCTGGCTTGTTGTTGTAATACGTCTTTCTATATACAGGAAAACAGAAAAGATTGCTGAAGGCTGATGACGTAGTCTAAAGCCACGTGGATGTGGAAAGCAACGGGAAACTACCACATTACTATCCTAAGAAACTCCACGAGGGATTGGAAAAAATTATAGCAAAAGGCATGGTACCAGGAAGGATGGGCAGGGGCCGACCAACACAAAGATGGGCACAGGATTTAAGTGACTCCTTGAGCATGAAAGTACATAAGGCGGGAGAGCTGGCAAGAGACCAAGTTTTTTTTTCAGGCAGACCGTGATGAGAGCGACATTCAGAAGTAAAAGGACCTGCTACATGATAATGATATACAGTGAACCTTGTTAACACAAACTTACTTAAGACAAAACACTGGGCTATCATGAACAACATTGTGGTCCCAGCAGTGATGTATTATTCATAGGCCTAGCTTGGAAAGTTCATAGAATACCATGGACCAAGAGGGAGAAAAACGCCAAATCCTGACCTGAACGTCAAGGAGAACTGGCTCACAAACAGCATTCTCTCCCCAAATTTGAGGTCTCTTGGACATGTCAGACGCTATGGTGGTTTGGAAGGTGCAGTTTCTGGTAAACAAGGCAAAGACTGATCTCGCGAGGGTGGAATGGAAACAGGTTATTGAAGATTCCTTGGCTATCAAAGCACACAGGATGGGAGATTTGGCTAGAGAAAGAGACGTTTGTGTGTGCTGGGACAAAAGCAACGTTCTGTCAAGGATTATGATGAAAATTAGCTTAGTGTGGATTTTTTTTTTTAAACGCTTGATTTTTCAGTCTCTTGGGATTCATTTTAATGGGGGTTTTACTGTATAACTGGGGTGGTGGGGGGGGGGGGGGTCTCCTTGGCAGAGTGGTCAAAGCTGTTTGCCTCGTGGTCTGAAGGACGTGAGTTCATTCCACGGTTGCGCCCTTCAGTTTAGGAGTGCAAATTTTACGGAGAACCCTGTTGATTGTGACCAGAGCTGTGGAGTTTGTGCTCTGCATGGCGCTCTCTGCAGGGGCTAGCTGTTCTGCGGAGAGACGCCAAGCCATATGGGATAAAATCTGGTGCACTGGCGTTAATCCTTTTGACTTTAACCTTTAACTGTATCAAGATTAGTTGCAAATCCTTTATACGACTTTGCAGAACCAACCCCAACAGCCCCTGGCTGTTGTGCGGTTTTTCTAGGCAAATTTACATCCAGTAGTTTGCCATTGCTTCTGGACGGTCGGCTTTCTTGAAACCAACGTAAGGCGCATGGCCTGCCACAAGGATCGAACGGAGCCGACTTTAACTGTATAATTGTCTCAAATAGCCTATATTTGAAATGATGTACTCCCCGTGTGTGTTAGGTGGATGGAGGCATATAATTGTCTCAAATAGCCTATATTTGAAATGATGTACTCCCCGTGTGTGTGAGGTGGATGGAGGCATTTGAGGGAATACTGTCTTCTCCTCTTCTTAGTGTTCACCGGCGGAAAACTCATGAGGAAATTTGTGGTTGTTTGTCCACTTCTGGACTTTAGGTCTTGTTTAGTATCCTGAGTTTTACGTTCACATGTTTTACAGGTCTGGATTTTTGTTTCCTATTGGGATTGTTGGTTTTTACTGCTCAGGCAGATGCACTCTGACCTAAGAAGAAAATTGTCCTGATTAATCACTTATTTGACATGCTTGTTGTGGGGCGGGAGAGATCTGTTCTTTTCCCCCAAAATTAGGTCCTCGTAACTGACATGGGAACTTTGAGGAAATCAACAAAAATATATCGCCTGCCTCTTAACACGCAACGTTGTAAAAGGACCAGCTAAGGATGTGCTTAAATTGATGTGTTGTTTTGAAATGTGCAGATATTGCAGCTTAGCTGTAAACCACCCCACAACGTGCCACTCACCCAAAAAAAAAAATTATTTACTGCGTATTCTTGTAAATTGTGCATTGTTCTCGTATATTCCTACAGCATCTGGACCATCTCGCAAGCACAGAGCTACCTGACCTGACAAGCCCACAGCCGATTCCTTCAAGTTTTCTCCCTCCTTTGAAGAATTCAATTAAGCTCAAGTTGAAGTGACCTCTGTCTACACACTAATGTACATTTTTTACAACACACAAAAAAAAGTTAATAAAACTGTAAAATACAACAAAGCAAGTGTGAAAACTTCAGTTGACCTTTGTAACCCAGACATTTATTTTTATATGGACCATAATTTTGACAGGAACCATGCATCACCATTCATAAAGTTAGGAATAACAATTTGCAGCACCATTCTAAACAAACCTAGAACATGGAGAAAATATGTTCCACATATTGCAATTTGATCTTTATATAAATCTTCGATTCTGACCAGATTTTTTTAAAAGACTTTTCAGCCACAGATATTTTGCTGCCAGATTATGCAAAAAATAAAGTTGTTCCTTCGGTCGCAAAGTGCCCCCCCCCCCCCCCCCCCCCCCCCCAATCATCTGCAAAAATTAGTGTTGCTGGCACCATGTCAGTGTCACTTACTTGCAGTTTTAGCGATTTTTGCTTAAAGGCATTATCTTGGGCTGTTGTTTGTCACTTTACAATATGCCAAACTCACATAGATGAATTCCTACTCCAGATAGGTCAGAATTAAATATTGCTTCTCACTCAGCTAAGAGTCGCGGTGGCAGAGTGGCTAGATGCTCGCTGCGGATCGGAAGGTCGTGGGTTCGTTCCCTAGCGGAGCCAGACTTTAAAAAAAATGACCTTGGCTCCCAGGTCCACCCAGCCTTAAGTGGGCACCAGGTGCAGTCCTGGGAAGTAAAGGCGGCCGGTGTGATAATGACCACATCACCCATCTTGTGCCGATTGGTCTATAAAAATATAGGTCTAGCCCTATATGCCCTGTACACTTAAAGGCGTGGAAAAGGTCCTTTACTTACTTGCTCAACTAAAGTTTTCAGTTAGACATTGAGAGATCTCAATTTTCAAATGCACTTCTCTTGAAACAGTTATTTAGTGCTTTGGTGACCTTGGCATTGTACCGTTGATATGTAATTCATAGGTACCAAAGTTATTTGTTGGAGCACGTTTTTGAAATCACATATTTATAGGAAATATATATTTTAAAAGTGATAATTTTTTCTTTAAGCAGTTTCATTATGTCATAGTTTACAGTTGCCTTATGTGTTTATCTGTGTACGGGTACGGTGCAGAAACTTATGAAACAACATAAGCGTCATTGATTGGACTAGCTACTTCATCAGTATCAAATTTTTTTTTTTATGTCTTGATTGTCTCCAGAATGAAAGTTGGCTACATTGTATCCACTTCTGTCTTTAGGAATATTACTTACTTACTTACTCACTTACTTACTTAGTCGCTCCTCTTCTACCTTGGGGTGTAGAGGTTTGCCAGAGAGATCGCCAGACGTCTCTATCTCTTTAGGAATATTACGTAAGTAAACTGTCTGAAGGCAGAAATTGAATACTAGTAGTCAGGGATTGTTAATGGGTTCAAACCCATAGAGCCGCTGCCCATTGACATTTGACCTTTATCATTCAGATCATGGCATGAATGTTCTCCTCTTCTTCTTAGTGTTCATAGGCTGTGAACTCCCATGGAAAGTTCTGGTTGTTTGTATACTTCTGGACTCAGCCTTATTCTAGATTTGTATACACATCAGTTTTACAGATCTAGATTTTTAATTGCAGATTTGTTCATTCATTCACCTCAGATGGATGCACTCTACCTTTAAAGACGTACATGTAATTTTACTTTTACAGGTTTATTCTTTTTTTCCCTGATGTTTTGAGATTATTTAATTCTGGTAAAGTCAAGACAGCGGTGCACTATGTTAAGCACATTTTTTTTTTTTGGATGTATGGCGTCCGCCTCGAGTGATGGAGGTCCTGGGTTCAAACCTCGGTGAAGGCTGGAATTTTTTCACGTAGACCTAGCAATTTCCCTCGGTCTTTGGGTAGTGAGATCGGACGCTCATGGGTATTCTTGCACATGTTTGGGGAAAAAAAAACTTTGGCAGTTGAAAATCGAAAAGACTACATTTAGTAGTTTGTCATTGCTTTCTAAACTATCGGCTCTCGATACTACTGTGTAAACCAACGCAAGGAGATCTGTTAAATCGCCTGCAGCTTGTATCAAACACCAGCCTTGCGAAGCCAGTTTGCAATGCCTAAGCCACCAGACGCTGATGACTCTTTAAAGTGAGTAAATAAAGGACCTATATTACGTCAGTAGTACATCATACATGAGTCTTTATACCATGTATGCTTTTTAGGCCATTCTGCACCCAGTGGGATAATGTGGTCAGTATTGCGCCTGCCGGCTTTACTTCCCATTATGAAGTTCCTGTTTTCGGCTGGAAGCACGATCAATTTTGTGGATTTGAGCCTAAAACCTTTAGGCTTAAAGGCGGGCATCTAGCCACTGCACGACTGCTGCTTTCTTGTCTGAAAAGAGTTGCAGGAGGGACAAGATGGGATAAAATCAGGAATGAGAGACAGCACAGAACTAATTAAAAATAAGGTACAGCAACCCAACTAGGCTAACCTAGTCAATAAATGCCTGCAGAAGTGAGATGTGGCAGCCACAAAGTGCAAATATCGCAGCAATGCTGTAAACAGGCACAGTGCTGTTACATCTTTGGGTGAATGCAGAAGATACAGCAAATCAGATGGTTTGCCCACTGAAAAGAATGCCTTGTGACGCTATACCGTGCAAGGCATACACTAAAAGAGAAATTCTTATCCATCCAGGGTATTTTTCTCTTTTTCCCTCCTTTGTACTCAGTATCCTCGTCTACAGCTGACGCTACTGCTGCCTGCTTGAACCACACCAGCCCCTCTGAATCAACCTAGCACCCCTCAAGGGGTGATAGCACCACTTTGAGAAACACTGTCTTAGACCTTGTGCAGTGTCTGAAAAGTTACAGGAACAGTTTTTGCAGCAGTTTTACCTTATTTGAAACAACTTTGCTAAGTGTAACTGGATGAGACAGGGTCATAAATGACCAGAAACAAGTTGGGACAGAACCAGTGCTAAGCTACATCAAGAGACAACAGATCAAATGTTTCAGACATGTCAAGACTACAACCAGATAGTACACCACAACCACAGAGAGCCCTGTCATTGAGACATCAGGCAAGCAGATCTAGAGGTTAAGCATGCAAATGTTGGATAGATGGGATATTCAGGGTGGTAAATACCAGTGTCTATGTAGCACATACCCAGGTTTGTACCCAAAAGCTCTTAAAAACCTAACAGTGAAAGGCACAACAAGACTAGAGAAGAAAGAACATACAAACACTTTGTACTGCAAGGTCCTTCAAAAATAGATAATCACTTCACTTTGTGTTAAGACCTGCTGGTGGTCAAAGTCACGATAGTCAGAACAACAACCAGCGGTCATTACCCGTTGTTAATAGTATCATGATGACTATTTTTTTTGGGTTCTAGTCCCCCCTTTTTCTGTGTGTGTTGGGGGGGGGGGGGGGGGGGGGGTAAGAAATTGAAAAAAAAGGGTACCTTTTTTTTTCATGGGATAAGCAGTAAAATATGAAAAAAAGGTCCCTCATGTTTTTTTTTTTAAATCAAATGGGAACAAAAATTCTTAAACACTTATAATTTTTTTGTTTATTTTTTAAAGGGGTATGGTGATATGGTTTTTTTTTTTTTTAAATAAAGCATTAGAAAATTCATTATCTCTATTATTTTTTTTTCAGTGTGTCACTTTTTAAACTTTCCCCGAAAAAACAACATTCGGGGGGGGCTCTGATTTTGGGTCTTTTGTTGGGGTTCGTCTGAACGTTTATCCAAAAATGGCTACTTTTTCTTATGTGTATTCTGTCTGAAGATTTACCCCAAAATGCTCTTCCTTAGTGTGTTTTGTCGAACGATTCATCCAAAAATGGCTATTTCTTTTTGTGATTTTGCAAACTTCATCCAAACAA